GGCTGGCTGGCTGGCTGGCTGGCTGGCTGGCTGTTGTTGTTGTGGTGGTGGTGGTGGCGGCGGCGCCGGCGGCGGGGTGGTGGTGGTGGTGGTGGTGGTGGTTGTGGCGGTGGTGGTGGTGGTGGTTGTGGTGGTTGTGGTGGTTGTGGTTGTTGTGGTTGTGGTTGTGGTTGGGTTGTTGGTTGCTGCAGCTTCTGCTGCTGCTGCTGCTGCTGCTGCTGCTGCTGCTGCTGTTGCGGTTGCGGTTGCGGTTGCGGTTGCGGTTGCGGTTGCGGTTGTTGTGGTGTGTGTTTGTTTGTTTGTTTGTTTGTTTGTTTGTTTGTTTGTTTGTTCGTTTGGTTGTTTGGTTGCTTTTTCAATGTTTTTGTTTTTAGGGGGAAGCAACGGGAAACCTTCCCGTTTTTAGGGACCACCCCCCTTCAGGCATTAGTTGACAATGGAAATTGAAGGGAGGTGTCTCTTGGAACCATGGCCTCAATCTCCAGTGCCAAGGAGCCTTTCTGGGAAGTGGGCATGCATCAGCCAACCTGGGAATTGTCATGATGCGTTCTGAGCAAAGCGAGGGACACTCATCAAACTCGGGCTCAGTTCGGCTCTTTGTGACGTGAACTTGACTTTGTGTTTTAGCACGCGCCCGCCTCTTTCTTGCCGTGCACTGGCATCAAGCCTTTCTCCTGGCACACCAGTAAAGAGAACTGCCATGAAGCGTAGCGCTGAAACCATTTCGGGCCGAGGCCCTCAGCCCACGGGAAAAGCTGAGCCCCATGCAAAAGGCGCTATGCAAGTCCGATTCTGAAGATGTTTTGCCCAAGAATCTCTATCCCTTTTCCATGAGTGAGCGGGCTGAGTAAGCGGGCTGCTGGAAAGCAGTCCTGGTTCAATAGGGCCGAACCTTGCTCGGCTGCTACCCGTTGGATTGAATTGTTTGTGCCAAGGGACGCTTTCCCCAAGCTTAAGCCGGTTGCTCGTGCGGATGCTCCAATCACTCCATAGAGAACAACAAACACACACGCACCCAGACGCATACACACACCTGGGGACGGTGGGGCTTAGTCAAAAGTTAGGCTTTCGCGATTTGATGGAGTCCAAGCGGCCACTAGCGATTCGATTTCGATATACAGCACACAGGCTAGGGAGCAGGACCACTGCCTGATTTTCCTTTTGTCATCTCTCTTGAACCATTTTCTCATTTTGTCACATAGCAACGACGCTTCGAATATTTTTCCTCCAAGCTTGTGGGGCAGGATGGGTTTAATGAAATGTAAAAGATGTAATCTATACAACCACGAAAAGTACGTGTGTGCGTATGTATGCATAACGAGTTGAGAGTATGATTTTGTGTTGGTAGCACAGCCCTTGAAGTGGTGAATCGGAATCGGCTGATGTTTCTTGCTAATTCTCAGAAATAAATGGTAGAATCATCTTCATGAACAATGTGGTCTGTGGGCCTATTGTCATTGTCAGTTCTGTTTCCGTTCCACACCAAGAATAATGTTTTGGGAGCGCTTTTTCGCTTGATGACCACAACCAGCCCACATTGTCAGGTATTTCAAGGTACTGGCAGTACCTGGCTTTTTGGCAAGCGTAGGTTGAGTTGGCGAGCTATGGCGTGACTACACCGCACGCACATGTGTCGAAAATAAACCCCATGTCGGGCCAGAAACGAAACATGGTGAAGTGATCATTTCGTTTTGAGTCTGGTTTGGTTCATGTTCTTGTTGCAAATAGCATCTAACAGGGGCGGCACATTGTTACCAATGTTTCTGACATCCCACACCAGTGCTGCTCCCCTGGCTTTCGCGAACCGCGTCCGGCCAGGTTGCCCGACGTGTTCGGAAGGCGAGCTGCCGAGTGGGGTGGTTTTTCTTCGTGGCGGTTTGGGGACTCCCCCCCGGATGCAGAAGTCAAGGGAAAGTTTCTCCATGGCCGGAAGCCTTGCACGCTTTCAATGCGCACGGTGAGGTAGCCATGAAAGTTTGCACTGGTTTATGCAGAAGATAGGAATTTGAAGAACCGCGTGTCTCTCGCCTCGTTCTCAGGCACGTTGAGCCTGACAGCTTTCGGTCGCGAAGCTCCCTTCTGGTTCAAAGACAGGGGCTACGGGACGGCTCTTTCCCGAATGCCCACAGTGATCTGTGAGTTGCAGGAACTGGCAAGTCAGTGCGGGTTGTTTGAACGCCTTGGAACCGATTGGGAACCAACCTGAAATCGGGGAGCTTCCCGAAGAGCGCAAAGACCTTGGAAGGCGGCACCAAACACCGTCAAACACAGCACCTATTTTGACATTTTGACCCCCCACTTGGGGGTAGGCGGTTTGTATGAACTGTCTCTTTCTATGAGCCTGCATCACGGCCCGCGGCCCTTTTTTCTCATGCAGAGAAGCGCTTCAAGCACTGATGTTTCCTGAAGAAGACATGGCTCTTCCAACTGAAGGAGACAGATAGCGCTGACTGCCCCTCCAGAAGCAAAGTGTACCCGTCGAATTTTCAGCTTCAAGTCATTCCTGAGTGCCTGATCGGACCAGTGTTCAGCCTGAAGGTTGAACAGGTACCTGTGAGAATCACGTGGGTTTGGACCTTCTGAGTCTTTTGAGGGTAGGAAAGCACCACCATTTTGCGGGGTCTCCCAAAAAAAGGTCACACCCAAGTGACTGTGCTGTGTTTGCCCGCATGATCTGCATCTCCGTGGTTCCGGAAAAGAACGTTTGGTGTTGACCCCAAACCCCAGCTGTCTTTGGATTCGGGGAATTCTCCAGTTTGTTTCCTGAGTCATCCAAACCCAAGCGTTCTGCCGCCAGGTAATGGAGGAGATCGGTGCGGGGCTCACATGTCGACAATCCAAAAATGGGTTTCCGCCGTAGCAAGGTGGCTGAATCCGTGGAGTCGGGTCTCATTCGGTCCATGGACTTTCGACTTGACTTTGGCCTTATGACAAGCAGCGAACGGCCAATATTTGGGTCAAACCAAAAGCAGTCGGACGAATGAAAGCACGACACGAAAGCAGACGAGAAAGCAACCAGACCATGCGTTTCTCCAAACCGCGCCGCGAGAATGCCTGCTTTGCGGCTTGTCTCAAAGTAGTGGTTTCCCTTGGGTTTTCCTGCAAAGCCCCAAGCAGCGCATCAAAATGAACAATCCTCCTAGATGGGTCCGGCCCTGGTAAGTGGAAACATGGACCAAGACCTGCGTAACCCTAGCTCTTTAGTTTTGAGCCACTGCCAAATGAGCGGATTCCCGGTGGTTTCCCTGCAAAGCCGCCCGGAGGCTCCGGCGGCTATGCGGGGTAAGCAGCTCGCGCTGTGTGCGGGGCTTGGATTCCCCTCTTTCGCTTGGAGGGAGGAGTGGCCTTTGGGCAAACGAGGTTCGGTCAACAGTTCCGAATGGTTTCACTTGGGAGGTACATGGAAACCGAGCTCCAAATTTCCCACAAGAAGCAGGGTACTCGGTAAATTTCTCATGTCCTTTCAGGGAAGCACGTAATTTTCACATGGTTCGCGTGGCACTGTGGTTCCCGCCAGGGGTCCAATGATGTTCCCTTGGGTGGTTCAAACATCGCCTTCCAGGTCGATGTTGATGACTTGGATGGGGATAGGAGGAGCCCTGGACTGACTCCCAGTCTGCCGGCGCCGGTGCCCCGATTACCTCGACCCGACGGTGCCCCGACTCCATCCACACCACATGATCACGCGTCCACTGATTCCGACGCAAAGTTGTGTTGACATCGGACATCGGATGCAACTTATAAGTGCGACTGTCTTGCCCGCCCGCTCACCTCCCAGCCCTGCCTGAATTCAAGGAACCCTATTCACATCCCCAAGTCGAGTGTCCACTTGACCGCCCTCGCAAAGAGCTATGGTTCGTTGGCGTCGAACTGCCCGGGCATGCAGCCCAGCCGCGTTCAACTGGATGAATCCCCAGCTAAATAGGGTCCCCCATTGAACATTCACGCCCATATTGAGCCGCGTGTTGCTTTTTCGCCCCGCCCAAGTGGCCTCGTCCCGGCGATTGTGGTGAATGGGCAGCCGAAGTGGTCGGAGTCAAGGCTCCCTTTCAGACCGGGAAAGGAGGTTCCCAATTGTTTGGCGATTCAACCGGTGGCCTACGAGTTTGCTCGCCGAGTGCCAAAAAGAGGTCCGCTCCATGCACAGATCTCAGCCCATTGGCCCCAACTGAGCACAGTGCTCAGCTGGGATGCCAATGGGCTGAGATCTGTTCAGGAGCGGACCGCTTTTTGTTTCTTAACCTTTTGTTTGTTTAAGCGTCTTCAAGTGAAAGGATCCTCTATTCTAGGGGCCCCATTCTTTTCAACCATCGTTCTTTCCAAGAACCGGATCCGTTTTCCCTGGGTTTCAAAGGAGGTTTTCTAGAAAGATTCGGATCACTGGAAAGAATGGACAGGGACCCCTAGAACAAGGTCCGAGTTCCTTTGACACATACCCATGTTGACTGCTTGTACTCTCAAAAGCCATGTGGCTGGAACCTGGCCATCAGAAACGAAGCACAAGGGGCATGGCTGGCAGCGACTTTTAATGCAAAGGGCCAGGGGATCGATCACCTTTGGCCGCACAGCACCATCCTTGGGCCTTTCGACGACCGACCGCAAGCGGTGGGTTGTGGTGACACGTTGACCTGCGCGTTTACCCGCAACTGTTGTAGGGAATCAATGCATACTTGAATCAATCCCACTGGCTTCCTGGGTTCATGAACTTTAAACCTTTTTTTTGGGGAAGACCATTTTAGTGGTAGCTCTAAAGTTTGGACTTCTTTTGGGCCATCCACAAGTGAGCCCAAGTCCTTTGCATAGACTGAGATGGAACCCAGACTCCCAGTGGCCTTTGGCGGACGTGACAAGTGCTCCAGGCACTTGACGCGGCAATTCCACGAGCGCCGAGAAATGCAAAATGGGATCTCCGCGCAGGGGCATGTGGACCGCGGGAGAAGTGGGGGACCCTCCCACCAGACATGGAGGTGCCCAGAGGGTCTGCAGAGACCACTTTCCACTTGGTTAGTTGGCCTTTTTGCACAAACCCATGTTAGTTGGTGGGAGGGTAGCTTGAAAGGGGTCCTACTCCTTGCTCCCAACAGCAATCAGCTCTTGGCTTTCTATCTCCAGGGGCACTAAGTTTCTATCCGAGCCGGGAAGCGTCGGGGAACCCTGAAGCCCTGGGTTGCTGCTGGCTAGCGAGCGTGGGTTTGTTTGGACAGTGGTGAACAATGCAACTCCGCCTGGAATTGCCGAATGCCGCCATTTCACCAAGGGAACCCGATGTCACTTCACAGGAGCAGCAGCTCCCACTGTCTTTTGAAGCCAAGAAGCAGAGGCTGTGTCCAGCTGTTGCTCTGTTATCGCAGGTTGCACAAACTGTTGGACAAATTCAGTTCTTGGCCACCTGATCGGAATCAGCAGGAGGATGTTTCGACAATGATGTAGGTGTGTCTTTTTTTCAGGGGACCCTCCCCTTTTTTGGCGCGGGTGTACAGGAAACCAGTTTGAGACATTGACCCAACCCTTCCTCGCAGCTCCTCAAGCTGAATTCGCACCGCATTCGCCTTGATACCCTCTGACAAACACGCAACGGAAGGGCACGTGTTTGTCAGTTGAACATGGATGGAACTGAGCTGGTTTCGGGTTTGGTTGAACAGTTTGGTTCTAATTTGCCTGAATTCGCTTGAACTCGTCCAGGCTGCCGCAGGGAGCCGGCCCCCCCCCCCCCCCCCGCACACCTGGGTGAAGGTTTGTTAACGCAGAGATCCTCAAAGGATACATGTGGGCCAGTCAAAACAGCACCATTAGCAGGTGATTCAGAGGCTCCCCTTGCAAAAACGGCGGTTCTTGTAATGTATCCGTTTGGAATTCTGTGTCCTCTTCCATCTACCAAAATGATGAAACGCAATGATTGCCAAGTGACGTGTGGTGTTGGGGGCTGATTGTGCAGCCTTAGGGTGAATGTTTCGCTGGGGTTCGCATACTGTGGATGGTTGCGAAATCCGTTCGCACCAGGAAATGAAACCAAGGGAATGAATCAAACCTTTCTTTGTTCGTTTTTGCTGGGGCAATCGAATCCTATGGGAAATGAAATTTTTCTTTGTTGGCATTTACTGGGGGCATCGAATCATTTCAGGGCTTCTGATCGGTGGTGCGAACTGCATCAGTAGGAACCTGGCGGGGGAAGCTCTCTGACCTTGGAGCTGTGCCGACTGCTTTTCGGTCCAAGCCGGTTGGCCGGCGATCGTTTAAGCAACAGCTGATGAGAGCACCGGGAATGCGGACAAATCGCTGACTGGGCCAACAAAATACAAGTGGGGTTGTGGTTGAGAGAGCGGTGTGTGCGCGTATCTAGGATCTTATGCTCATGAATCCGGCACTTTTGCCGAAACCTCAACTAGCTCAGTTGCTCAGGAAGGTTTGCATGCTGTTTTGACAGTGCAACCTGCCGGACCATGGTTGTTGTTCGAGCATGGGATTGGAAGTGATAACAACTTTGGTCAGGGATGCCCTTTCTTGGCCAGTAGCGCTTTTGAGAGACCTCAAGCGACTGCTCTTCGCAAACGCCTGAACAGGTGAACCAGCTAGGCTCGCAGCTAGCAACTCAAGATGCAGACGTCTGTGTTTTTGAGCGTGTTTTCTACGGCGAGGGACCCCATGACAACCGCAATCGACAGCACGCCCGCCATTGAGCTGAAGTCCCTTCGGGCGCATAGACTTACAAATGCCTGGCGCTTGCGAGTTTTACCAGGATGGCGATACGCCGGGCGCCAAGGGCGTAGTATCGCTTGAGGCATTTCCCTGCCTTTTGGTTGAGGGCGGATTTGAGTTCGAAAAGGGAGCACGTATGTTCATGCTTGCGCATTTGTGTGTGTGTGTGTTGACATGTTTTGCAATGTTCACTTTGAGCTTTCTCAAGTTTTCTGCTCTTCAGCCTCCATGTTGGGCACGCCAAGTGTTTGTTTGCAGGTGTTTTCCAAGCACAAAAAGGCTGCAATGTCGTTCTGTTCCCAGCAGGGTGGGTGGGTGGGCGGGTTGGTGCCTGGGTGGGTGGGTGGGAGGGGAATTTCGAAGGCGCGAGCACTTGTATCGCATGGTGTTTTGCCCATGGTAGATACTGCTGGTTCTTTTGTTGCCAGCTCAGCTTTGCTGCCGCGAACCAATGACCTTTCTCATGCAGACAAAGAAATCCAGTTCGTAACCCAACCTGGGGCAAGAGCTATTGGCGCAGCCAAGGATGCATGTGCAGGTACTAAGATCTACATGTGGATGACATGCCATGCAGAATGCAGATGTTCGGCTTTTCGTGGGTCTGCAAGTAAACAGCACGCTCAAGGGAGCCCGCGACATGAAGCACAGTGCCTTGCTGCGTCAAGCACCTGGCGCAAAGACCCCACCTAAGTTTCGCATGGCGCAAAGCGTAAAGGTTCATGGCCTGGGGGGACTGGCACGCGTGTACCATTGTTCAAAGCTTGTGGTTGATCACTTGGGGTTTATCCAAGCACTTCTGTACAAGGGAATCTGTTCCTCTTTTGGGGGGTTAGTCTTTGGGAAGCCTTTTTTGGTGTATCACAGTGGATTCTATTTCGCACGGTCCTTTTTTCCAAAGACGCTGTGGTTGCTGGAAGGTTGATGTTGACTTACTTGTGCTAAAGGCAGATGAGACCCGCAGTCGCCTTAAGAACAGCGAACGCGGCTGCTTGCAAGTTCTTTACAAGTCCATGTGGGAGTGTTTTTCGTTTTGTTTTTGGGGGGGACCCCCAGAAAAGTGGTTTTCCTCTGGTTTCCCAGGACGTGAACAAAAAAGGCACCCTCCAAAAAAGACACATCCATGTTATCCTTGAAACTGATAGGTTGGCCCGCCATTTCGAAGAGCTTGGGATAGCTTGTTTTGCGGGTTGGGACATAGATCGTCCCAGGGACAGCGTGTTGGCGCTATATTACTTGATAGCTGTTGGGTTGGATCTTTAGACCTTAGCTCTTTTGGGGCAAAAAGAGGGTTTTCCATTGAAGCCCAAAAAGTTAGCTTCTTGCAGAGGGGTTAACAGCAACCAAGTGTACATAGGCGTATTTCCTCAGAAAAGTAAAAAGTATCCTGGTATCCTATCCAAATCCTAGGTTCACACTACTCTGAATTGCATTCCTCCCGTGTTTTCCCTTCATAGCGGAATTCCACCGGTGACCTCTTTGAAGCCATAGACCGGGCTGAGACACGGGCCTTCGGAGTGGGGTGCCGCTCCAAAGTTTCGGAAGGCCCGCCTTTGCGTACTACCGTCGCGCGAGCAATGGCTCCCGAGTCGAGGCGGGGGAGGGGGGATGGGGGGGATGCGGGACAGGTGGGTCAGATGCGAAACGAATTTTCAAAGGGAAGCCTTTTGAAACCAACCATCTGCAGAGGTCCCGAGCTGATTTTGATTCATACCCAGTCGGGTGCTGGAGGCTTGTCTTTGTGCAATCCAAGACTTGGATGTTGCTTTGTGTATTTGTGTATGTGTGTATGTGTGTATGTGTATATGTGTGCATGAGTGCATGCGTGTATGTGTGTATGTGTGTATGTGTGTTACTGTGTGTTACTGTGGTTGTGTGTTTGTTTGTTTGTTTGTTTGTTTGTTTGTTTGTTTGATTGTTTGTTTGTTTGTTTGTGTGTTTGTTTGTTTGTTTGTTCGTTTGTTTGTTTGTTTGTTTGTTCGTTCGTTCGTTCGATTGTTCGTTCCTTCCTTTGTTTGTCTGTTTGTTTGTGTGTTTGTGTCTTTGTTTGTTTGTTTGTTTGTTTGTTTGTTTGTGTTTGTTTGTTTGTTTGCTTGCTTGCTTGCTTGTTTCTTTGTTTGCTTGCTTGCTTGTTTGTTTGCTTGCTTGCTTGCTTGTTTCTTTGTTTGCTTGCTTGCTTGTTTGTTTGCTTGCTTGCTTGCTTGTTTCTTTGTTTGCTTGCTTGCTTGTTTGTTTGCTTGCTTGCTTGCTTGTTTCTTTGTTTGCTTGCTTGCTTGTTTGTTTGCTTGCTTGCTTGCTTGTTTCTTTGTTTGCTTGCTTGCTTGTTTGTTTGCTTGCTTGCTTGCTTGTTTCTTTGTTTGCTTGCTTGCTTGTTTGTTTGCTTGCTTGCTTGCTTGTTTCTTTGTTTGCTTGCTTGCTTGTTTGTTTGCTTGCTTGCTTGCTTGCTTGCTTGTTTCTTTGTTTGTTTGTGTTTTTGTCTGTTTGTGTGTTTGTTTGTTTGTGTGTGTGTGTGTTTTTGTTTGTTTGTTTGTTTTTTGTTTGTTTGTTTGTGCGCTCGTGCGTTTGTTTTCTTTGTCGTGCTTGGTTTGCTTGCTTGCTTGCTTGTTTCTTTGTTTGCTTGCTTGCTTGTTTGTTTGCTTGCTTGCTTGCTTGTTTCTTTGTTTGCTTGCTTGCTTGTTTGTTTGTTTGCTTGCTTGCTTGCTTGCTTGCTTGTTTCTTTGTTTGTTTGTGTTTTTGTCTGTTTGTGTGTTTGTTTGTTTGTGTGTGTGTGTGTTTTTGTTTGTTTGTTTGTTTGTTTGTTTGTTTGTTTGTGCGTTCGTGCGTTTGTTTTCTTTGTCGTGCTTGGTTTGCTTGTTTGCTTGCCTGTTTGCTCAAGCCGTGACCCCATCTTCCTTTGGTTTTGATCTCAGTTGGTTCCCTTTCAACCCCCCGGGTCCGATCCGTTCTGACCACAGGCACCGGGTCCGAAAGCGTTGGGAGGAGCTCAGGTTCCGTTGGTTCACCCCCAGTATCCCACCGCCCGGGTATTTTTCCTAAAAAGGGGGGGTGCAAAATATAAACTCAAGGTGAGTGGTAGTGTTATTCACCTAAATGTCGGCGTGCCTTTTTTCTTGTAAATTGGGGGGTCTTTGTTTTGGTTGGCTTCTTGATTTAGAAACACTCCCTTCACCTGTTGACGTATGCCCTTTGCTGTCCTTTGCGAGTGACTTTTCCATTCCATTTGTTTGCTGTGAGGGCGATTGGTGTCCTCACCAGCATGGAACCCGAGCATTGAAAGTCTCCGGGCAATTTACAGTTTTACCAGGAACCAAACTGTTCGGCTCCCCCCTGAGTTGCGTGTCCTTTTTGGTGGTCCAAAAGAACGACCACGTTGTTTGTTTTTTGGGGAGGGGGGTCCGACCCAAAAACAGGGCACGCCCAGTGGTTTGTTCTCTCCTCACCGGGCCTGGGGGAAGCTCTCCGAGGTCGGCTATGAGGCCAGCCCGCAGGGGCTGTGCTACTTCCCAGACGCGTGCGCGCCTCGCGCACGGGGCGCTTGTTGGATTTTGTTTGGTCCAAGTTTTGACCAAGTTGGCGGGGTACCTCGCTGACAATTACCGGACGGGGAAGTGCGCCATGTTGCCGGGCATGTCCTTTTTTCGGTTTTCGTTTGAAGCCCAAAAACCAGGTATCCTGCAAATGTCTCAAAATACGAAGAGAACCAAAAAGGTTGGTTTCCTTTTTCGTTCCTTTTAAAACCGACCCAAACGGGGCATTAACAAAAATGACACACCCATATCCTCTGGGCTTTCCGAGGACCTGTGAGGACTCCAACTTCAGCTGCTGCCAGCCACGCCGGCGAAGTGTTGGACGTTTGTTGAGGTCGTCAAAGGTGTTTTTCATTGGACCCCAGTTTCAAACCACCCCAAGCCTGTTTCCTTAGATACAATTTGGCCATCAGGACGGCTTTTCCACCAAAAATTGAAACCATGGGGGCAAAGTTCAGGGGGATCGGTGGATAATAAGTGAACCGCTAAAAGAGTTACTTTTTCGAAAGGCCCCCAAATCCACTGGCCCAAAAAGGGTACAAAGATACGCCCGACACGTGCACAGGGCATGGCTGAAGCAGGGTCTGAATGGCGCCTTGCAAGCGCATTGGTTTGTTTTTTTCTTCTCAGAATAGGGGCACCAAAAAACGCACACACAGACACAAGTTGCGTGTTTCCTTTTTGTGTCCTTTTTTCCCAACTCCAACAGGGCTCAGTGAAAAACAAACAGGCATTTGTTCTCCCTTCGGCCAGGATGACGGAGGAGATGCATGGCGCAGCCAAACACGGGGAGAGCATCAACCTCAGCGCCTGCATTGCTGCTGCCTCAGTGCAAAGAGCGTTTCTGAGAGGAGTTGGCGGGCTCGGGGTAAGCGTCGCTTTTCGGATTCGAAGAGGAATCGCGCTGCGTCAGCAGCCTGTTGGTTTCCTTCGGCAGCAGCTTCTCTGGATTCTGGCGGGTTGCAATGATTTGGAGTCCTTGAGGAAGAAAGCCTGGCCACTCTGTCAGCATGAGTGGTCCCTGCCTTTCCCTTTTTGCAGTGTGGCGCAACCACTTGTCAGTTGACTCCAACTCTTAAAACTCATAGCCGTATGGGTGCATCTGATGTTAGGATTTTCCTGATTACCCCATCCTCGGGGACAACAGAAACGCCACTTGGAGCTTGGCCTGCAGATCGCTTTGGTCCTCCCCACCTTCATCTACAGCTGCGTGATGCAGATCATACGAAGGAAGCGGAAAACAGGGCTGCTCTGAGGGTAGTTGGAGTGTCAACAATCGGTTGGAGCCGCAAAATGGTGCCGGCCAGTGTTCCTTTTGTTTTCCCTGTCAATTTTATCTGCAAAGGGGGACCCTACAAAACACAACTACATTTGGTGAAGGGTTTGTCTTCAGTTTTGCAAGGACCAATGTTCTAATGTTGACCCAGGATTAATCAACCCTTCCCTCCAAAAGTGGTCTGAATCCACACTAAAAGGGGACACCCCCCTATCAAAATCAACCAGGGGTTCTGCTTAATCCGGGGTTAACAGTTTTCATTTGGTGGAGGGTTTTCATTTGGTGGAGGGTTTTCATTTGCTGAAGGGTTTTCATTTGGCGGAGGTTCATTTGCTGAAGGGTTTTTCTTCAGTTCTGCAAGGACCAATGTTCTACCCGGGATTTCCGCAGGAGACGAGCAGCTGCGGAGTCCGAGGAAGAGGAGGAGTCCGAAGAGGAGAAGGAGGAGACGGAGGAGGACGTGGTAGAGGCGCCTCTTCGCTGGCAAACGAAACGAATCCCCCACCCACTTGAACTCCCTTACTCAGTGCATGAACTTCCACTTTTTGGGTTTGGACCATTTTGGTGGTAAATGTGAATTTTGGACTTTTTTTGAGCCATCCACTCAGCAAGTGAGTAAAATGGCATTGGGGGAGGGAGGTGATCCCTGGAATTTCATGTTTGGTTCCGTTTTCCCTTGCATGGGGAAGACTAGTTGCCCCCACACCCCCCTTTCCTTCATGAGGCAACCAAACAGAGCATGGGAAAGATCAGAATGGCATGCCCTCTCCGTTGGAAAGTCAGGGCTGCGAAGCTCAAAATGACTAAAACCACAAGTTGATGGATTGGGTGGTATGTCTTTTTTGGGTGGTTTTTAAAGGGAGACCAAACGGAGAAACCACCATTGTCGGGGGTTCCCTAAAAAAGAGAGACCCTATTGGCGAAACGGCTTCTTTCGTTTTTCTTTTCCAGCCAATTTTCTAGCCTTGCCACAAATGGGGGCACCCCCGGTAAGAGGGGCTATACGCCAGTCAAGAGAGTTTTAATTTTGTCCTTTTCCTCAAAAAGGGACTTTCCAGGGATTTCGGAGCAAGACAAACTGCTTTTTGCATCGGCCAGGCATAGCAGCCAGAGCTTTGCCTCCTTGGCCAAACAACTGACATATAATAATATATACTGTGGATGGACGAAGTCAACTTCGCACCACTTTGAAACCAAGGGACACCAAAACGTTTGTTGGTACGGTGGACGGATGAAATCCATTTCGCACCGCCGAAGAAACCCTGGAATGATGATTCCCCTGTAAATACCAACAAACGTTTTGGTTTCAACCCTGGTTACAAAGTGGTGCGAAGTGGATTTCGTCCACCCACAGTATTTCCGTTATGGAATCCAATCCTTCCAGTCCGTGCACGTCTGCGCGTCTTCGCGTGTGCTTCCTACCTACTCGGATCCTCGCCGCGGCCTGGCATCGACAAAGCTGTGGGTCCCGGTCTATGCCTGAGCTGCGCATGGCTGTGGTTGTCAAGAATACGGTTACCCCGAAATGGGTCAAGCCCTGGTAAATGGCAACAATGACTAACACCTGTGGTTTTTCTGGTGGTTCAATTTTGAATTATACCGACATGTCTTTTGTGTTTGGGCTTCGAAGCCAAACTGAGAGGAAACCAAACGGAAAACGAAAGGAGACCAAATCCAACTGTACGCCAAAACCGCAGTTTGGGGGGTATTCCTTCATCTTGCTGGTTCTCAGCCGGGAATGAGTTGGACTGACCCTACAAACCCATCCGCTCTGGTGTCCTTAACTTCGGGGAGCAGGTTCCTTCCCACCCCCCGGGCTCGGCATTTTGTCCCTCTCGCGCCAGGTGACGGCTCGCATCCTGTCTGGGCGCCGGGCCCCTGGGAGTGGATCTTCAAAGCGGCGATCCGCGGGTTTTTCCGGGTTGGCCACCAGGCAGTCGATCATCATATTTGGTTTTGGAGACATCCAGTGACTTTTCTGTCTTCGCGTTTCCTCCTTTCTTAATCGAGGGTCTGGACCCCCATCCCCGAGGCTTCTCCAGGGGACCATGCCTTCTCAATGTTTGGAGCCGTTCCAAAGGACGCTACCCCCACACATGAGTTTAATTGATGATTGCTTGCCTAACCGGCCCGCTCGAAGTCTCACATGAAGCGACTTCTTTTTCACCCCTTTGTCGCTTTCGAGTCGCTCCACGACCAGAGCCATGCTACCACTTCTGCTTTTGCAGATGCAAAGCTGCGCGTGCAACGTGTTGCACTGCCGCTGCTGGAGCTAGCGCCCTCAGGGCGAAAGCTTCGAGAGATCGAGCTTTTGCCCATCCACGTGTGGCCTGTTGGCAAAATGCCTTGCACAAATGGGCTGGCCGACGCAGGCCTGCCGATGCAGTGAAACATAAGAAAGAGCAAGGGGAGGAGGAAGAAAAACAGAAAGAGGGAGAGGACAGGAAAGAGGAACAGAAACAGAAAAGCAAAAGAGAGATGAAGAGAAGAGAAAGCGAAAGAGGCAGCTACAGAGAAAGAGCGTCCGAAAAACAACAAGAGAAAGCGAAAGAGGATAAAGAAGAGAAAGGGCAAAAGAGGAGCAACAAGAATGAGAGGCAGAGAACAAAAAAGAGACAAAACAAGACAAAAGGGCAAAGCGACAGACAAGTGCAGAGAAAGATGAAGAGCTACAGAGAGCGAGAAAGAAAAGGTCAGAATGAAGCAGAGCAAGAAACAGACACAGCAGGAAGGAGCGAAGGAAAGAGAATCGAGCAGCAAACTACGTTAGCTTTGCGATTGAAACTTCCGCCTTTGCGCTTCCCCGGCTTCAATAAAGCGCACCTTGAAGACGTTGCTTCCTGACTCCCATGTTTGGAGGTTGTTCTCCAGACTCTTCATGTAGATCAAACCCATGCATTCTATGGCCAAACACGAGTAGAAGGAGATCAGCCAGGTCGTGAGCTCCAAGAAAGTTATGCGATCCGCACCCATGGCTGCTGATGATGCCTGTGTGCCGGTGATGCCAGTATGATGCCATTTTGCTGCTGGCAGCTGTATCCTTTCTGTAATTCTGACGCACTTGCAACAGGCATGCCTGAATTCAGGCTCCAGCCTAAATGAATCCAGCCAGCGCATGTGCGAAGAAACGGGTATCTCATCCCTTGAGAAGGCACGCTTTTCTGGGAGCCCGCAAAATCCAGAGGACGCGTGTCCAGACTTCCGATTTTGGAGGCTATCGTTTTGGGGCTCTCTCAAGAGGACACCAAAAACGGGCCCCGTTTGGGGTTCAGGACGCTCCTTGAGCCTTGGCTTCCCCAGGAAAGCTTCCCCTCCTGAACTTTAGGCTGCTGTGAGGTGCCATTCGCCCCGACTGAGATCGCTTTTTTTGCTTGGGAAGGAGGACCATTTCCCTTTCAACCAGGTCAAGTGTCGCTTCACGCAGGCCGAGTTTTTGTTTGCCCTGCGACGAGTGGATCTTTGGAGCAAGCCAGCAACATGTTTGTCTCTAGGTTCCGACCTAAAAGCAACCCTAACAAAAATACTATGCATAACTGGACGGTGGATTTTCTCCAGCATTTTTGCTCATTTTGGTGTTTCTCCAAATAGACATCTCCTTAAACATGTTGCGTTTGGTTTCCCTCAAATCCCACGGCTCCCACATCCCACGGCTCCAAGTTGCATTTAGGCGCCGTGGACGAAGCGGAGGAGGAACCGGAGCAGCCGGAGACACCTGGGTGGCGCAGGCGGGTTTTTTCAGATCGCTCGCGAGAAAGAGAATGACATCCAGGGGCATGAATATGTTTCTCTGCTTTGTCCTGTGAAACCCTACTTTTGTCAGGTAAGCCCTAACTGGTGGTTTGGCTTGATTAGCGGTTTGGGGTAAGTTGCGTTTCCCACCCAACAACACCTCCCAACCACCAATCCAACCATTAGTGAGCTGACGTTTGGGCTGGATGTGGAGGGAACAAATCAGGAGACAGTTTTCGAGGGCTCCTTGGGTTGGAGTCCGCTGGGAAACGAGTTCCGCATCCCTTGGAAGCCAGTCTCTTGCAACTCACTTCGCCACTTTCCGGCGAGCTTGCCGCGTTTTTGCCCCCCACTTTGGGGGTCCAGAGAGTGCCTGCGCGGAAATGGATCCCGGAGTCTCCCGCGGGCTTTTTGGGCACCGATTCCAACAAGACTGGAAGCATCGGTACGTGGCGGTGGATGCTCTGGAAGACTGAGGATCTGGACGGATTGAAAAAGCTGCCGGGCCAGCGATCTCGGGCGCTCTTTGGCCCAAAGGACCTTGAAGGTTGGTATTCTAGGTTTTTTCAGTGCCCTTTTACCCCTTTTTGTTGGGGGGGGAGGGTTCCTCCTACTAAAATAGACCACAGACAAAAGGGTACCCTGGGCCTGGTATTTGTTTGCTCAGAGACCTCGGATGAAGGCCCTGGTCATTTTTACGCCGAAGAGAAGCGGTTGGCGGACACGAATCTGCACCCAAAATTGGATGTCCAGCCTTTGGCGTCCTGGGACCCGGTAAAACTCGCACCCGGGTTTGTGTGTCGTAAAATTCGCACCCGGGTTTGTGTGTCGTTGTGGCCAGGAGGCTGAAAATTATGCTGGTGTGCGCTCGGGGCCTCAGTCCGGCGGTTTCCGCGGGTGAAGTCCCCCCAAAGTTCTTGTGTTTCTTCTGTTTTTTTCGGCGTTACCCTTTCCTTTGTTACCAACATTCCTTCAATTGAATGCTGACTTGTTTCATGCCATAACTTGATAGCTTTGACCGAACCACATGGGTCAAAATTTGTTTGGTGAAGGACGACTTGACCACAAAAGGGCCAGTCGGAAGCTTCGTAGCTGAGGTCGCCTTTGGCCTGAGCATGTGGGCTGAGTGCGACCCTCAGCTTGAGTTTGCTCGGCGCTGTCGCACCTTGGATTTGACCTGGATGTGGGTCAACAATAGGTACCCAACATGGAACCCTCCTAAATGGAAAACACGACTAAATTCCGCGGTCCTAATTCCTAATTTTGACCCATACCCACCTTTCGGTTTCAGTTGCTTTTCGCGTTTTCTCCTCCGCTGGGGCAAGCCATTTTGGTACCGGTTTTTTGAGCCACAGCCATTTCGCGGCGAGGATCTACTACCAGACTCTGGCCGCCAACGTGACCCAGCGCTACCTCTCCGTGCCCGCCAGGATCGATCGGACGATTGGGTGAAGCCGCCGGAATGGGCAAACGGTTTTTTGTTTTTTTGGTGAGGGTGTAACGTTTTAATGGGAAGCCACAAGGAAAATAACATCATTTTAGGGGCACCCATATTTTTGGCTTTGTGAGGGTGTAAAGGGAAGCCACGAGGAGAAATACCATTTTAGGGGTACCAAAAATGGATAAGCCGGTCCATGATGCGCACCACAGGTTGTTTCAGAGCGACCGTCCCAAGGTGCGAGGGGGCTCAGTTTCGGCCCCCCAGTTTTCGCATGAACCTGGGACAGCAAATGGAGAGCCATGGATCGGATGGGGTGCTCGGAGTCGTTTTGGGGCCGCAAGGTGCGGACTGAGTTGCGAGGCTATGGAGGCCTTGAAGGATAGAGTCTCCAAGCCATGCGAGCAGTAAATATGCACTAATTACAAGGGAACTTTGAAAATTGGTGAGTCCCCAAGCATTTGTGGGAAATTGAGTGAGCTCAGCCTCTTGAGCCCCAAAACGCTTGAAGCCCGGGCAAGTGAAGGACAGCAATGGCCCATCCCATCCAAAAAATTCAGTGTACTTGGCCGCCTTTTGATTCTTTACATAGCCTTGGGCAGACCACTTTACTACCTTTTGATTCAGGGGAAATCCTTCGCAGGTGGGTTTGCGGAGTTGTGCAAATACTGTGCTGGCTCAGATCGGTCTTCTTCGAACAGATATCCACTGCCAGACTGCGAACATACAGCTTGCAGCTGACGCGCGAGGGTCTGCAGCCACAAAGCAACAACCATTGCCCAGCGTTTTCACAGCACCTCCGCATGCATTTGAGCTCAATTCAAACAGAGTTGAAAAGGACACCTCGGAAACAGGGGCGGGGGCTTGTGAAAAGGCGCCTTCGACTTGTGCTTAGATGGTCCGAGACTTTGCCAACTGCTTAGTTGCCATGGTTACCCAGCACACCCATGGCAAGTCCCCCTTTGCTTGCTGGTGCGATAGGCAGGGAATGAGAAATGGAATGGCCTCGATTTAAATCATCCATTTTATGGTTTTACCGATTCGGGAATCCCGAAACGGTTCATGCCATTTCTCATTCCCTGCCTATCGCACCAGCAAGTTTGTTGGGGGGGAAGGGGAGGGGGGGTGAAACCGCACCTCGCAGGAACTCCATGCTGGCGGGGGATGCGTTTCTGACCCCGCTGCGTCGGGGCCTCGCGTCTCGCTTTTTTTTCTTCTTTTCTTTTTTTCTCGCTGATCCCCGCAACCGCCCAGTTGGGGATGTCCATGGGCGAAATCCTGGGCCAGTTGGTGGGTGGTTCTTCTGGGGCTCCACTCATTGCAGGTGGTGGTTGGATTTCGTCCATCGGTATCAGTTTCCGGGATTCTGGAGCCAAACAAGTTGCAATGTGCGTCAAAAGAGGGGACCTGTTCGGATCCATCATGTAAAGAAGAGCGCCGTGAAACCATGGAGCGTCAGTTGAGACAGCGGCAGGCCGACTTCCGAGCGTAAACCACTGATTGCGCACTTGATCAGGGCATATCTTTTGGAGCAAGATTACTGCCCCACCAAACGTGGATTTGCACAACCCTCCTGACTACTTCCCTCATGGACATTGAACCATTGGTGGGGCAGGCGAGATTGGAGGGTCAGGGCTCAATGGGTCTCCAGGATCAACAATCTGCTCAAGAGCATTTTTATTTTATTTCCCCTTGTTGGTTTTCAAAGGGAATCTATCACTGAAATGTTTTATTTTTTCCACGGCGCTTAAGCGAATGGAAGCAAATCACGCCGGCTGGGAGTTACTCCAAATTATATTCGGAAAAAGAAAAACAAAAAACACCTTCTTTTGATAGTGAAAGGGAAGCCAAAAGGTGAGCCTTGCCATTTTAGATTTTAGACCCATTCCTATTTTGAGAAACACCCATGTGGAGGGCAAGAGAAAGCAAGCAAATGGCACTTCGAAGTGCATTTCACTCCTCAGGATCTTGGAGTATGGACTACAACCTGCGGTCCAATTCCTGGTGGTTGAATGTTGACCCATACCCATATCTCTTCAGGGCTCTGCCCCACAGGAAAATCGTAGATGCGGGTTCTTGCTTGCGACGCCCAGGCGAGATCTTCCAGTTTCTGGAGGAGCTCGCTCCCCCCCGGCTTCCTCCCGGCAAAAAATGGTGGGCATTTCGAAGGGGTTGAACAACATCTGGGTGTGTCGTTTTTGGACGAATCCTCTGGGTGTGTCGTTTTTTGGATGGGTTTTAAGGGACCACAAGGAACACCAAGGCAAAGCTTGTTTTGCCCTTGCTCAAGGGTGCACAAGAAGTCGGCCCTAGTATGAGAATTGTGGTTCCGACTGTAGTTTACAGGCATGGACAAAATTCTGGCAAGGCAGACCCCTCGGCAAGCAGAGGTTGCAGCCTGCTATCCCAAGTTGAGAAAAGTGGGTCCTGACGCTTCCTGGATGTTTCGTTGACAGGGCTCTCCCTTTCTTTGCGGTTTTAGTGGATTCTGTCCGCGGTGAACCCTGGGGTTGGTTTCCCCAGGTGCGGGACACCTTTGCTTGTTAGAGCCGCCGAGAATTGAAGGTCAGAGGAAGATGGTCCAGGGACTTGTGAGCTTCCATGTGGCTTGGATGTACCCAAGGTTGCCCTTGGGCAAATCTGCAATGTTTTTGGTGGGTTTGCAACGGATTCGACTCCGTGAAGAAACGGTTAGCGAGTTCCAAACGCGACTGCACCCATAGTTCGCCTTCCAACAGTGGCACAAAGAAGAATGGGCTCACAATCTGCACTGCGCGCAGGTTTTGTTTGACTGGAAGCAGACCAAGGAGACCCTTTTATTTTGTAGTATTGTAAGGTCCAGGTAGTGTTCCATGGGATGCCCAATATGAGAGCGGGGCATGGGGGGGAACGAGCTTGTCTGGCAACTAGTTTGGAATGTATAGTTTTGGACAGAAACCAAAAGGAAGCCACGCATGTTGAGACAAACTTATGCATCCAACTTGTCCTTGGAACTATTCCATTTGCCGCCGTTGTTTGGATTTTCGGCTCGTTGCGAACCTGAAGCCAGGCGATGTCCCATTTAGAAGGGAAGCCAAAGGCGGCTGTTTAAAGATGGGAGAGAGATCATTTCACAACCGGGTGGTTGTTGGACATGGATATCCATGTAAAAGACATCCACTACAGATGAGGTGTCTCACAGAAAGGTGTGCGAAGCACCAGGTTGTCCAGCTGTGTTTTTCAGCGGTGTGGACCCATGCTGTCCACCGCAGGACGTGGTGACGGTGAAGATCATGGCGGCCATTGGCGCCCAGACCACCCGTGCCCGCGCCCGAGCGCATGACCCCGGGCCCCGGGGTCAGGGGCCGCCGATTTTGTTTTTTTCCCGGGGGGATCTGCTGCCTGTCGGAGGGGGGTGGGGGTGCCATAGACACCATTTGAGTCTCCAGCCCAGAGTCGATTTTGCAACCAACACTTGAAAAGCCAAGACCCTAAAGAAGGAGGTGGCAAAAAGACCCTAAGTGTTCACCGTACGGGGGGCAGACATATCACACCCAAGTGACGAGAGAATTTGGCTGAAGAGAGAGAGAGAAAGAGCAAAAGAGAGAGAGAGAGAGAGAGAGAGAGAGAGAGAGAGAGAGAGAGAGAGAGAGAGAGAGAGAGAAAGAGAGAGAGAGAGAGAGACAAGACCTAGCAATTGCGTAGGGCGAACCCTCAGAGCTGCTAGCTCGGGCGGAACAATTCTTGCTGTGTGTACGATTTGTCAAATTGCATGCTACTTCAGGAGGATGTTCGAGAACCATTCAGACATGCCCTCGGGGTCAAGGACCATCTCAAGCGTTGAACGCATTCTCCAACATCACCTCCTCCTATCTACTTCCGTGCAGAAGAAAGCAAGCAAATCAAAGCAGTCCAGAAGCCACGGAGCATGTTGCCGGTGTGCGTTCCTTTCAACATGGCGCTGTTTTATTCTTTCCTTTTCGGGGTGTGTGTGGGGTGGGGTGGGGCAAACACCCCTGGCTGGATTCCAAAAGAGAAACCACGAGGCGGTGCGACCCATCCTCTTTATGGGCACCGCCGGAGGAGTGAGCCTTGGTGTGGTAAGCGACTCCGCACTTTTCCTGACCGAGGGAAGTGAGCTTTTATTCATGGCACACACACACACACATTAGATGGCCCCTGTTCTATCTATGGCCCAACTTTTTGGATTTATTTGGGTGACCCCTGCAAAAAGGGCGGTTGGTCACAAGGGTGCCAACTAAACCGAACCACATGCTCTTGGGTAGACTCCTTTAAGGTTGTGATGCGACCGCAACACAAAGCTTGAAGGAGATCATAATCTTGGGTGTGCGTCGCTTTCACACTGGCTCCCGCATTTTAACCATCCCTAGTTTGAGTTTCTGATTTCACATTGGTTCCGTCAGCCGCCCAACTTGACGCCCTTCGCAAGGATTCGTCTGCGGCGTAGTGGCGGCTGGGCGCCCGGAAACCGCTGTGGGTCGGGGCCCGGGGTGTCGAGGCTCTGCGTTTGGGCGTGTTCCCAGGCCCAAACAAGTGGCTGTGGTTGTCAAAACCGTTTGGGATCCCATTTGGATGGTAGGTGAATTCACCACCCAGTTTAGAACCTATTCTAGTGGTTGGATTGGGATGTTCACTGGGGGTACGATTTGGATTTTGACCCATGGCCAAGTGCAAGTAAGCCAACCTCAACCATTGTATGTGTTCATTTGAGATGGTCGATAATCAACTAATCAACTGTATACCTGGGGAATTTAGGAAGCATGTGTCTAAAACGGCGGTGTAAGGGGAGGGGGGCTGGTGGGGAAGGTGCCGAATGGAACCAACTACAGGCATTCAGCGGCGTTCACCCGCTCCCCGCTCAACAGCAGGTTAATCAGTCAAGTAGTTCTGGCGCACTCGTCCCTGGTGACCTGACTTCTGTCCCATCCCACCTCTTTCCTTCTATTTGCTGAAGACTATTTTTTTTTATTTTTCCCTCGATCACTGCTGGAAATATTCTGGGGTCTTAACCAAATGGAAGGGTCCTCCAATTGCATAGGCCGTTCAGCCGCTGGCATGCAAGTCGAATCACTAGAGTCAGTCTTGTTTCGTGCCACAGCCTCCAGGCAGTCCCTTTGGCTTCGCCATTTTGTTGGCGAGAAAAAGACGTGAAGATGTGCGTGCCATGCAGATTGAAGCTAGGGTATATCTGATCCTTTCATGTGGTCACACCAGATGGGTCTATCTCTTGTGATCCTTTCATGTTTTTGATGGCTTGCTTGGGAGCCAGTCCTAAAATGGGTGTGCCTGTTTTTGAGGCTGCGTTGTTTTTTGTGGTTTTAAAGGCAGGCCACCAGGAAAACTCGTTGCGCCCTCCACCCAAAACAGGCCGATCCACCGAGGCCCTGCTGGCTACGGGGCTCTGCTTCTGGCCTCCGGCCCTGAGGCGACCGGATCTTTTGGACCCGAAATGGGCCACGAGGTTGACTGCTACTGGGCAACGGATCTTTAGACAACCTTTTGGTTGAAATCAAGTTGGGTTTTCCACTCAACCCCCAGAAAGTTAAGCTTTTTGCAGGGGGGTCAACCGCAACCAAGCAATCAACACCCGGGTGGATTTGTTGATTAGCAAGGGACAATCCCAATTATAAGTAGCTGCGGATATCCGCCTTCTTAATTCTTTACATGGTTCTGGGTAGACCATTTTCATACCGGGTTTTGATTGTGACTCAAATGGTGGAGACAGTTTTCCTTTGAAGGGGGGCCGTCAGGTTGTGTGTGAGTTGGTGGAAGGGCATCCTGGATCGCCAGCTGCGATCTTTTTTTTCCCATGCACTTTACCCCAAAAACCGATCGCAACAGCGACTGAAACAAGCGATCGCAACTTGGCTCGTTGGCGCAAAGGTAAAAGGCACACCCATGTCGGTGGATTTGGATTCAAGTACCCGCCAGCCACTCGAGAGTGGCTGCCTCTCATTATTATGCCCCTCCCGCCCCCCCAAAAAAAACAAGAGGTTGTTTTTCGTACGGTTTCCCGTTGCAGCCACCCCAGAAAGGCAAGAAAGGACACACCCAAATGGGTGTGCTTTGGGTGGGTATCCCCTGAAGCATGAGCCGAATCAGCACTCTCTCCTGGGAGCCCAGTTTGGTTTTAGCTGGAAACCCGCTGAGGAAGTTGGCATTTCAGAGGGTCTTAGGCAGACTGCCAGTTGATTCCCATGTTTTCTCACTTCCTGAGTGGATGGCCCAAAAACAGTCCTAACTTTGTGTTTACGCCCAAGATGTATGCGAAGAAGTCCAGTGAGTTGATTGTCCCGATCCAGCTGGGCGTCTTTCTCCCCAGCGGGGGATTTCGATTTGTCGCTTCTGCCAGGTGGCTGCTGGCGCCCTACGCCGCGCACGACGACTCCTTGGGCTGCGAGCTGGTGCCGAAGGCCTGGAGATTGGTCCCAGGAGCGGCCCCCCCCTCCCCGCCCAGGAAAAAAAGAGGGGGGGGGTCCGGTTTCCTGGTGGTCTCCCTAAAAGAGTAGCTTCAAAAGAGGACCACAGCCATATGCAGGCAAGGGATGAAGCGACCAGATGTGGTCAAAATGCCGGAGTGTAGAAATAAACACGGAAGAAACTGAAGGAACAGAACGGGAAACCAAAGAGAAGCCACATCTTTTCGCTCAGACCCGCAGCACCAAACAGAAATGGCCCATTTTGGTTGCAACCAGGGTTGCGACATTTGCTTCAAACACCACCATCCCTGGTTTCCCCAAAGAAGTTAGAAGGAGTAGTTACAGCAAGCGGCTGGCCTGCAAACCCAGGAGGCAGGTGTCAGAAGAAGCTTATGGTTTCCTGCCGGTTTGCCTGACAAATGCAAGCAGCTGGCGCCTTGCGAAGGCCGAATGCGCGAATTGTCTGGGCTCCCTGTGTGATTTCTGAATAGGGATGAGTCGTCGACCCTGGAGAGTGATGAATCCTTTGACCGGTTTTTAAGGCCACCCAACAAGCGCCCATAAGTGAACCAGGGTCTTTGGGATGGGTTTTTCATGAACTTCTTGGTCTTTGGGATTGGTTTCCAGGAAGGCCATCCGAACCTCGAAGTCCTTCGTCGTTTTCCCCTGAGCCTTGGGATCAGCCTCATCTCGCAGGGAGATGAGGCTGCACAGCTGGCCGGTGCCCCAGAACTGTTTGGCCCGACTCACCCAAGAACCTGACTGGGGGTGGGCTGGGGGGTCCTGGAGGGAAATAAAAAAGACACCAAGCACCTGGAAGAAAAGTCCCGAAAAACACGCCGGTTCAAGAAATGCCCCGGGAACTCGAAAAGACAGACTCTGCGAGCAGTCACCCAACTTGGCGACCTAGCCTCGTCTTCGCGCGATGGTGCTAAGCAGCGAGCAGCGGGGAGTTGCAGTGGGCATGGGGCTCTCACTGCTGCTGACGCTAAGTGGGCTGTTGCCTGCGGCTTTCGGTTGGCTGCCGTGTCCTTTGAAGGACGACATGAGCTCCAGATTAGCAAATGCTTTGGCCTGGGACTTGCTGGTCATTCTGCCGGTCCTCGGCACGGTGGCGCGCCTCGCCAAGTTCCGGTTCTTCTCGCCCGCGGATATCAACGCGGCGGCTTCGAAGAGTAGCCCCAGCAACGCAGCGGGCATCATGCAGGCCATCATCCAGAACACCCTGGAGCAGGCCGTGATGGCCTTTGGGGCTCATTTGGTTTGGGCGGCTACCATGCCCATCTATTCCCAAGCCGTTGTGCCGGTGAGCGCCTGCTTCTTCTTCTCCGGCCGGGTCATGTTCGCGAGCGGGTACTCCAAAGGCGCGCCGGCCAGGGCGGTAGGTTTCTCCATCACCTTCCAGCCCACCGCGCTGATGCTTTTTGCCATGGTGGCCTTCCACCTCTACGCGGCGCTTTCCGGCAACGGCGCCCAAGTCGCATACGGGCCAGCTGGCGCGCTGCTGCTGGGCTCCCTGGGTTTGCTCAAGTTGGCGACCCTGGTGGCCGAGAGCGCGGGCGCCGAAACATCGGCGAGGGAACTGACTGCACCACTGGCGTCAGGCTGAAGGACGGAAGAAACCTGAGACTCGGACTCGCACTGGTCAACTTATTTCTGACCAAGGGTTCACTGCACAGGAGCTTGCGGCTTTTCTGCGCCGCAAAGCCAGAGCCCTTGGCACCGGTGTAAAAACTCATCATCAGGTGACACGGCCAGATGCCTTTGTCGTGACTTGTCTCGTCGAATATGTAATCATCACCCTGAATCATCTCCGCTGGTTTTGCTTGGATTCTGCGCACATTTGTGTCTAAAGTTCCTTTACTCAGAAGACCATACCGATTCGCAGCTAACGTCGAAACACCTCAACCTGGTTGTGCTTTGCTTAGACGGATTTCAGATGCACGTCGTACCCTTTGTCCTTTGTTCCAATCAAGAGGACGGTAGTCATCCCCTCCGTCAGCTTCGATTTGAAAGAGGCTTGGGTTGTCCTTAGCCCCCGCGAAATGGCCATTGGAATTCCTATGGCAACGCCTTTGGTCTCCCGGAGGAAACAAAAAAACAAACGGATGTCCAGCAGGCGTTTTGCCTAGGCCCGGACCTACCTGCTGCTGCAAGCCTGGTGTTGGCCGGCCAGCTTCGCACCGAGCTCGGTGTATCGGGAAGGTGGACGGGTTTTCATTTATCATCCACTCTCCAAGGCCGCGGCGCCCAGCTCGCCATGTTTTTGCGTGCAAGAAACCATTTGCCCAGCACTACGGAAACCAAAAAACAAGGCACGAAGTGTGTGCAAGTTTTGAAGGGCGGCTCCTTTAACACACACTTTATCCTGCTTGACACAATTAATGTCGAGGGTCAAAAGAAGTTGGACTTCTGGGACGTTTGAGAAAGGACGCCGGAAGGAAGAGGGCGAGTAGTACTGTCGGTGCCCGACTAATCAAAGGGCGACAGCCCTGGTCCGTAGTAGTTCCCATCTCTTCCGCTTGTTTCAGTTTTCCGAGTACCGAGCAAGTCAGAAGATCTCTGCAAACCACATGCGTCACCCAAACTGCTGGTTCCCCTACATATCCTTTATACAACTGTGCTCAGCGAACAGAAGTAGTACTGTGCCTCCCCAAGCGCTCAACAATAACCTCGAACAAGGGGGTACCCAATTGAGAAACCGACTTCCCGCCCTTGGCCTATTTTGATTCCTATCTCTCTTGCCCACTAACCCTAAAAGTGCCCAGCCAGCAAATGTTCTACGGTAGTACAGTACTAGATCAAACGCTATCGAAAAAGGGCGACCCAATAGAAACCATTTTCCAGGCCGAACAAACAACATACTACCAAACCAACACTAAGCCAATATAAAACAAATGCAAACCAACACACTCCCATACTAGGCTAGTACTAGGGCAGCACAAAGCAATGCTAGACCAATTCTAAACCAATGCTGACCAATACAAATCTTCGGGGAGGCCAAGCTGATCCCGTCCCCACAATTTGTGTGAGAGGGGCCGGGGGGCCTTCAATCGGTCACCCACATGAGGAACCTGTTTCTGAAAGATGGCCAGGTCTTGTTCTTGTTGCTGTGGCTTGCGTCAAGCTCGTGAAATCGCAAGTGGCGCTCAACGGGCCTGGAACAGGCTACTTTCCTTCCAAACAGGCGGCAGGTGACCATGTCCAGGGTTATTCTGGCTCGTTTTGAGCTCGCAAACTTGTTACCTCATATAAAACCAGCAGTGGCAATCTTCGGATCATCTCACGGCCTGATAGTCCCATTGACCCCTCACGGCCACCTCACGGTGTGGCTCAAACATCGGGCAACCCCCCAACAATCAGCTCGCCCCAACAGCACATGTTTTGCCATGGCCCGAAAACATCCGCAACCCCCCCTCTCCTGGTCTCAAATTGTGACCCCTTAAAACCAGCTCCCGGGTTTTTCCGGGTCCCACCAAGAGGAGCCACCCGCGCGCCCAGCTCCAGCCCCACCGCCTCCGCCGCCGCGCGCCAGCGCATGCGACCCCCCGAGGTGGGCATGGCGGTGCGGGGCTTTCTGCTGGGCTCTCTGGAGCTCACCAGCTTCGTGGTCATGGGCCTGGCCAAGTCCTCAGACCCACTGGGTGAGAAAAAAGGGGGGGGGAGGGAGGGGGGGGGAGGGGAGGGGGAAAAGGCAACCAACTTTTGGTCGTTTCTGGTTCGCCTTTTCACGTTTTGTTTGGATTTGTGGTCAACTCCTTTCCCGTTGGTCTTTGTTTCAACGTGGTTGGAAGTTGGAGGTTGGAGAAGTTGCACTTTTCCTTCCGGTGCTCTCTTTTTCTTTTGGCGACCCCGGGTTTGAAGCTGGAGGTGAATATATTTGTCCCTTAAATATCTACCAAAGTCCCGTTTTCTCCATGGAGCTCCGCCGGCGTCCGCATCGGACGCGCACATCGAGAGCCTCGACGCCAGGCGCAGGCGGTGATTCAGATCGTGCTGCTCAAGGCGCTCTTCGTACCGAACCCTTCGCTCACCAACCTGGGCCGGGGGCCCCACTCAGCGCTCGGTTGCGGGAAGGGGAGCGGGCGGTTGGGCTGGGGGAAAAAAAAGTCGGAGCAGTTGGTTGAGTTTTGGGGGGCAGGTGGTTTACAAGTGGGGTTGACAGGATTCTCAGCTGGTTCTGAGGTGGATCACGTCTAATCAGAAGTGCCCTTTTCTCATAGATCGTCTTCGCACTAGCCAAGCCACCCCGGATTCGTACAAAGCGAAGTTGACGGTTTTGGTGTCGCTCATGTTGCGCCTAAGCCATCGAGGCTGTTTATAGAAATCCCACCTGATCGAGGTCGGCAGGGGTCCACATCCATTTTATGGCCTTCCTTCTTTGCAATTCTCCTGGTTTTCCCTTGGAGCGTAAATGGAACATCTACCAGGGAGGTTCTCATGATTGCTTGGTTTATCATCCCCTGCAGCTGCGGCATGAATGGCCTGAAAACCCTTCTTTGGCGGCTTTCTTTTTTGCCAGGTGGGGCAGGAGCCGTTGCTGCAAAACGGCCATTTGCCTGCGTGAGAAGCACAGGGACTCCTCCAAATAGTCGTGTCGTTTTGTAGGGAACCCTCAAAATGGGTGGTTTTCCTTTTGGTTTCCCTTTGAACCCCCCCACATAAGGGGTACCGTCGCAAAATCACACACCCAAATGTTGATTATATATGTAGGCTCCCACCGGCAAACAATCATTCAACATGTGTCTCCATTCATTAGGCTGGATCTCCTTTGTGGGCTCCTACACATCAGTGATTTTCACGCCCGGCGCCCAGATCGTTTTTCACGTGCCGGGCAGGGGTCTCTCTCCTAGCGCTGATGTGGATTTGTTCTTCAAATAGGGAATCCCATGCACAAAATGATACAATAGATAAACATACATGAAATGAGGCCGTCAAAGAGGGAACCACCGAGGGCCTGGTATCCTGTGCTTCTTCAAACCTTGAAGGTAGCCTCACCTTGAGGTTCGGCTGAAGTCATTCGGCGACGACATGGCCTCATGGCTTATGGTAATCGACGGCCCTCATTTGCCATGGAAGTCGGATTTTTTTGGGAGCTTTTTTAAATGACTCCACCAGGTTGAAGAGGTTGATGACTTTCCGGACCAAGGTTGGGCATCTTTGTCTTCAGATCCGAGCTGCGCGCTCGGTACGACCTGACGTGCCGGCGACGGAAGGCCGCTCGGCCGACGCCCGGGCGGGGTGTGGTGCTTCAAGGTTCTCCAAAAATCTGAGTGGGGGGGGGGGGGGTTTCTGGTTCCTGTTTTTGCCACCTGGACGGCAGGTTTGACTCGTGTATGGTTCTTTGGCTACCACCGGCTCATGCCCTGCGCGTGCTTTGTGGTCCCATGGCATTTTTTTTGGAGGGCCGTGCCTGCCAAGGTGTTTTGCCTGCCCTTATTTTACCAGGTTTGGTCGAGGCGCTGCTTTCTGCCAAACAAATAGGAAGGAGCAGTTGTGGCGATGCAAGGTCCAATTCATCAGTTCACTGTTTCTCTATGTAGCTGTCGTAAAAAACCAGAACATGGCTACGAAAGATCAGCCATGCCACTTGTGGGTATTGCGACTAGCCATGACAGGTTGTTACGGACAAGGGAAGCTGGGACTTGGGTGTTGCCAATTCACCAGTTGCCATTTTCACGCCTGACAGAAGTGTAGTATCGAACGTGAAGCTCTTCATTTGTCTGGTCAGAGACCCAAGTTACTCCTTTGAAAGGAACGCGGGAGTTGGCCGTAGGGGCTTTTTTAGCTATTCTGCCACTGTGCGGGCGGGCTTCCTTCCTCTTTAGTTTCCAAACACTTGTTTTGACTTTGTTCAAATGGTCCTAGCCGAAAAAGCTCCAGCTTTTTCCATGTCAACTCACGCCTCTTAACACTGCCAGGCCTCTGACGAGGACGATGACGACGGCGCGCAGGTTTCCTGGAAAGCTGCCCTGCCCTGAGATCGCCGCGTTTTGGGGTTTTCTGACCAGACGGGTTGTGCCTGTTTGAGGGCACCACTTTGGGGTTGGTTGAAAGAGAACCCAAATGAGACCAACCATCTGTGGTTTTCCCCGATTTGACACAAAGCTGTACCTCGGCACATGGGGAAACGGGTGGTTTCGGAGTCTGAAGAGAATGGTGAACCAGGTGCTTTTTGGATGGCAGCCTTTTCCTTGGATTCCGCTGGCACCACGACACTCCCACAAGTCCAATTGGCCGCAGGCCATATGGTTCAGGGTTCAGGACTTAGTTGAGTGGTTTGTAGCCGTGGCTATACCCACTTGGCTGTGGGTCAAAACCAATGGTCCATTTTGGGGTAGGTGCACCACCCATTTTAGAACCTATTTTAGTGGGGATTGGGATGCTCACTGGGGGATAACCGGGCTTTGGACCCATGGCCACCAGACCAAACTATGACCAGACTAAACCACCAACTATGAGCGGACCATCTGAATCCAAGTAGTATCCCGGGGTCTTTCCGCGGGTGGGCTGAATGGCGTGCGACTGAATTGTCTGAGGCTCAGTACCTTTTTCAGCCTTGGTTCGACCCTCAAAGAATTGACTCCTGGCCAGGCTTAGGCCGTATCTCCCCAGGTTCGATTCGACACTTCTGCTCTGGCTAGGAAGAGCTTGCGATAGATCGCCGGTTTTGGGCAAATGAGCCAAGGGCCGTCTTAAAAGGGAACCTCTTCCACTGGTTTCCAATGGTTTATTCGGTTTTTCGGATTTTACCTCCAAAAAGGGGGGCACGACAAGGAGGTTGTTCCAACAGCGGCGTTTTGCCATGTTTCAAGCGCTTGACTCGCCCTGGGGGGCAACCCCAAAGTCGCAGCTGGTTTGGCTTCTCTTTACTCCAGGGTTCCTTTTCTCCAAAAGGCTGCAACACGCCTGGTTTAGTGTTCAAGCAAGGGGTTTTCCCACCTTCCTCGAATGGGCTCCGAACCCTCGTGAGACATGACGCCCCAGTTTCCGGCAAAAGAGCCAGCCAGCACCCCCCCCCCCCCCGCAACCCCGGCTTTTGGGACAGCACCGAGGAGATTGCGGACGTTGAAAAAGCAGTTGAGGGTTCTGGAGGTTGGCCTTGCCTTGAGACGCACCTAGAGTCTCCATGACCGTGTTTCAAAAATCAGAAGGAGATTCTCCAGGTGCGGCACCCAAATGGCAACTTCCATTTCCCGAGCTGAATATGAATTTCTTATTTTCCCCTTAAGCCTTTTCTTGTCTTTCGGGAACCGATGGTGCACACCTCCCTTTCCCTTTCCCACCGCTCAATTCGTTTCCGCTAAGTTCCGGTACGAACGAAACACGAGGCGTCGCAAGAGGGCTTGGCGGCCATGCTGCTGGACGTGTCGGCGCAGATGTCCATCACCGGCGGGGTGTACACGGCCGGCGCCATGCCGCGGGGACCAAACAACCGTTGGGCCGTTGGGCCGTTGGGCCGTGGGCCGGCGGCACTTTTTGGGTCGTTTTTGGGGGGAAACTTGGCGGAAGCGGGCCGAAGGGAAGCCGAAGGAAAACACCGCGGCCCTTTTTTTGGGCGGGGAGGAGAAGGACATTCGTCGCTTTGTCTTTTCTAATTTTTGGGGCCAAGGGGCGCTTTCAATTCACGCACCCCCAAGAGGGGCTCCCTTTTTTGGCCATCACAGGTTGGGTAAGACGGTCCGGGATGTGCATGGATCCAATTCATCAAGCAAAATCCGCTGCTTGAGGCCGGAAACTATAAGCCGGGAAGGACGGAAGAGGGGCGCAAACCGTTGGGAGGGGTGGGTATTCATACCCAGCTTTGACCACCTGGGCGCATGGGGGGCTGGCTGGGAGCCGATGGTGTCGCGGAGCTTCATGTGACAATGTGTATCAACTTGTTGGTTGATCTTTGCTTGAAAAAACTGGTGGGCGTGGCTCAAAATTTAAGAGCTAGGGCAAGCCGCAGGTTTAGTCTGGTTCCATGTACCAAGGTGCCATTTTAGTACAGGTGTCTGAGCCACAGCCATGTGGGCATACCTATTTTTGTGCCACCGCCACATCCTGCTGTTGTCCAGCAAGTTGTTTTGGCGGATGATCCGAGTGAGTCGCTACAGCTCAGAGAGACGCATTCGATTTCTAGGGCGACTGGGCATCCAAAAGCTCCAACTTGAGGTGGAGCAAAGCAGAAGACGCGATGATACCATGGCCCTCTTCGCGAGTACCCCAAGTATATTTGGGTGTATCCTAACATGCGGACGCGCCGCATCGGATATGTTTAAGGGGACGCGGAAACTAATCCAAAACACGAGATCTTCATTTTTGGCTTGTTTAAGGAGAAGCAGAGGAAATCTCCAAAATCGATGAAGCTCCTTGGATGGTTCAACGGCAAGTAGATAAAGCAGCACGGTTCCAAGCGTCTCTTTTTGATGGCGGCACTGTGCACGTCCGAAGGCTGGGCATGGGAGCCATGTACCAAATCAGCGCCTTACAGGCAGCCGGGGCCCCAGTGAGCTGCCTTGCGGTTCGATACCTCGGCTGCTGTGGGTGGGTGGAAAGGCGCAATCCAGAAATCGCACCTAAGCATCCCTGGTTTCGGATGATTCTCCTGCAAGTTCCGACAAATGGCTTCCCACGGTTTCACAGTGGTGCACAATGTCGTCCATCATTTCCCCGAAGCCCCTGACTCGCAGAATCAAGTCCGGCCCGAAAGACGTATTTTGGGGGGACTTTTGTTGGGGAGCTTCTGAGCGGGGACCTTGTTTTGGACCTCCTTCTTTCCTTTCAAGAAAAGGCATAACATACTGTGGATGGACAAAATCCTGCACCAGTTTGAAACCATGGAAACCCATTGTTTGTTGGTATGCATAGGATAATCATCATTGCAGGGATTCCGAGGTGGTGCGAAATGGATTTCTTCGATCCACAGTAGTCTCCCCACTCCGATTCCTTTCAACAAGAGTCGAGATCGGTTTCCCAGTTCCGTTCCCGCAGGGTTCCTCCCACGCTTGGCTGGAAACCAGCCGAATCAGAGGCCTTTATGCAGTACGGACTGCAGTGGGTCTACGCGCTCACCTACTCCTTGCGCTTGCAGGCCTGAAGCGAAGCTATGATCTTGCGGATCTGTTCCGGGGGGGCGGCGCTGTAAAAGCTTTGGGATGTTTGCCGGTTACCTTTTGCGACGTCCATGCACTCATCCTTCCAGCATGGCGTGATCGCTTTCCGAGTTTTCCAAATCCCACGTTTTCGAGATAAACCCTAGGGTTCGTTTTGGGGCGGCATGCCGTTTTTGCAATTCTGTCGCACCCTGAGCCTGGCATTTGAGTTGGTCGCTCAGCAGACCCACAATCAAAGCCTAGGTCCGACAGGTTCCTCTGAAAGAACTTGCTGGTGCGATAGGTTATTGATTGAGGGAATGAACCTGGGGATTCCCTTAAAGGAAACCATAGGGGATGGCTTATCAGGGTCATTCCCTCATTCCCTGCTGAGCAGCAGCAAGACAAACATGAATCCAGTTGAGAGGGGTACATCGCTAGTTTCGAGCGAGGATTCGAGCCGCCGGCCAACCCAATATGTGCTGCCAGGCGCTACAGCTCCTAGGATTCAGAAATAAATAACCACCTAAATCAACATACATATGCACATATATGTATGTATATTGTGTATACATACGTATATGTATATGTATATATATATGTATGCAACACATATATTGAGTAGGTCTGCTCGGCGTCAGGGCTTCGAAAGCTCAAGTTCTTGAGCTTTGGACACCGCAACATCTACTTTCGACACAACCGCCATTAAACCTACACACGATTCTGCCTCGCGCCACGCGTGTGCGTACCTTGAATCATCTCATTTTTCAAGCCTTTCAGACGGCGCACAAAAAAACGCGTTTCCTTACTTTGATGCCGTTGAATGTCTTTGAGAACTCGAGTTTGGACACCGCGACATCGACATCTACTGTTGCAACGGAACATATTTAGACTACACACGATTCTGCCTCCCGGACTTCCGCACCTCGCCGCACGTGTGCGTACCTTGAATCGTCCTGGCAAAAAGGCTTGGTTCAGCCTTGGAATTTCTTGACGCTCACATCGCCCTTGTTTTTCAGCATGCTGCAGAAAAGTTTCAACAACATTTCTTTGCACTTTATTTCACAGATATATGTGATGTAGCTGTTTTGCAGTGCATGCCAAATTGTCGTTCACAGCTCCTTTTTCAGAACATCATATTGTATCTAAGCCAGCTGTGCGCAGGGCCGGGTTCACACTAGTGTATGCAAGCATAGATAAGTGTATATATATATAGATACGCAAAGACATGCATACCTGAAAATCTATGCATTCCCGGTCCCAGTTTCACTGCCCTCTTAATGTTATTCCCTGTGGAGTGATTGGGGGTGGGATGGGTTGGTTAAGAGTTGGTTGAGGGTTGGTTGAGGGTTGGTTTAGCGACTGGGTCAGGAGATAGCTGAAGGGTGTAGGTTCGCCTATGCCATCTTAGTGCCCGGGGGATTCCATGATGGGACCTAGGGAACACGCACATGTAACTGTACGCATGGAAGCGCGCCCCTCGCAAGCATGCTTCCCCCTTTCTGAAGGGGCTTGTAGCGACAGCGCGTGCCATTGCAAGCCCAGGATAAGGCTCCACATGCGCCATGATACCTGTTTGCTTGGGCTTAGCAGGAACAGTCATTGAAGGGAAGTTGTTTGGAGGTGTAAAACTGGACCTCACCCTTTTCGATTGCTAAAACAATGATGTGTTTAGTGCGATTAACACATCAAGGTTGTCAAACTCACCTATGCTACATTATGGATGCTGCACAAGACAATCTTGACCAGAATCACCTCACCAGCTATTGCCAAGCACCACACTTGGAAGAAGGGGACTCCGATTTTTGGAACTGGACCCGGATCCCGGCGGTCTCGGCAGGGGACGCAGATGGTGGCTGCGGGTCAGTCCGCGCCAGAGCGGGAGCTGGGAGCTGGGAGCTGGGGGCACGGAGTGACGCTAGGCACGCTCTGGATGGAACTCGACATGGCTGTGGTGGTCAAAACCGTTCTGGGATCCCATTTTGGTTGGATTGGGTGAATTCACCACCCGTTTTAGAACCTATTTTAGTGGTTGGATTGGGATGTTCACTGGGGGTACGATGTGGATTTTGACCCATGGCCACATGACGTCGAGTTCCAAAGTAATTTGCAGAAGTTTGTTTGCGTCAGGTTTTAGGTTTTGACATTGCAAAGCCGTTTGGGCGATCCCATGTTCCAACTAACATGGCTACGCCTGGGTGCACTGCTTTCAGAACTTCCATTTGCTTGAGAGTACTTGTTATTTCTCCTCGGTGACCTTTAAAGGGCATTTGTTTCAGGGTGCGAAAAATGAGGAAAGCAACACATGAAGGAGCATGCTCCCGGCGATTCGTTCGGTGGAAGTTCTCCGACGGAGCGGTGGCGCGACTCGAGGTACCATCAGTTCAACGCCCTCTTCCGCTTCGTGGTGATCTATGCCGGGCACTCGTTCGACGGTTTTCGGCGTCGGTGGGCGCTGCTTCAATCAAAAGCCGAAGGTGAAATGGGGTGTGGGTCAAAATTAAAGCACCAGGAATTGGACCACAGGTTTTGGTCCATGTTGCCACTTATTAGGGTAACCCATTTTGGGTACATATTTTTGACCCACAGCCGAATACTGTGGAAGGAACAGATTGAAATCCCAGCAAATCGCACCACGAAATTAGTTACCATGGGAATGAAAACCATAACGTTTGTTGGATTTTACAGGGGAAGCGAATCAGAACCAGGGTTTCTGAAGGGCGGTGCGAAATGGATTTCGTAACCATCCACAGTAGCGGGACCTCCCCAAGACCCAAGGGTGGCTTTCCTTTTTAGGGTTCTCCAGGAGAAACCAGACTGAAAAGGGAATCTCAAAAACAACCGGACACACACACACACACTGAAGACTTAGCGCCGAAGCCGAAGCCCCTTTCGCCCCATGAAAGTTTCCACCTTTTCTCCCCCTGGGCCCTCAGTAACAATCAGACTCTGGCCCCCTGTAATTCGAAACCGACAGGTTGATCAAACCATGCACAGTGGTCTAAACACGTTAACAAAGTGACCTCGTGAAAATTACCTTTTGGTTTTGAGAACCCCTCACCCCCCCTGGCCCTCACCCCCCCTCAGCCTACCGTCTGCTTCTGAAGCCACCGAACGCCGAAAAAAAAAACCGAGCGACCCACGGCGAGGGGCTGATCCTGGTGGTAACGGCCGCCGCCACCATGGTGCCCTTCCGTGCTCCCTTGGCCTTCCTGCAGGCCATATTCTTCGGGTTCTTGCGCCCGGATTGATTTTGGGTGCCCCGCTCGGTGGCATCGGATTTTTCGAATGGGGGGTGATGGGGGGTTTCGGGCCACGAAAGTTTTTGCCAAATCCCGTTGCCGCAATCCCGAAAGCAGGGACATTGGACGCCGTACGTTGATCGGCTGAAGGGGAAATCCAGTGACTGTGTGCTTGTCGGGTTCGGTCCTTGGCCCCGTGAAAGCTTGAACGGGGTCCCAAAGATTGAATTTGGTTGCGGAAGCCAAGAATGTGCCTTGACAAAGTGGTTCTTGAGAGCCTAGAACCCTCAAGGTGTTTGGTTTCCTTGTGGTTTCCCTGAAAAATCAGCGAACAGGAGTTCCCTGAGACGGGACCCAGGATTGGTGTGCACCCATTTTGGAGGGATCTGGATCACTTCACCCTTATCATTCGAACAGGTTCTAGCGAAGTCCGGGGTTGACAAATTCTCGCAGAACTTGCTTGTTCTTAGTGAGGATTGTGGAACAAGCCAGGTCAGGGTGGAATCATAGAGACCAGCCACCCACAGAATCGTCTTCCTAAGCCTGGTTTCTTTTGATTTCTCCTGTAGATGCTCCTTCCAGCTGGTTTCTCCCCCCCCCCCCAAGAACCCCCCTTTTTGCAAGGTTCCATTTGCAAAGCTTCCCCCCATTTGCCAGGCAGAGCAGGCCTGTGAGTACGCGTCGCACAAGTCCTGCGTCAACATCTTCACCGATGCACCTGGCCCGCATTCTCTTCGCCTCAAAAAAGACACACGCCTCAAAAAAGATACACCCACCTACGAGTTCTAAGAGATTCGGGCGATTCCAGGGGTCCCCGAAAAGTTAGGTCACATCAACAAATGGCCCTGGGGGTTCGAGGGGACCCCACAAATTGTGGTTTTCATTTTGGTTTCACTACAAGAAAAGGGGTAACGGCAAACAAGACACATAGGTGAAGCGAGCAGTGTTTCAATGCTTTGAATACCAGTAACCACCAACCAAGTGGTTTTCGGCCTTCCAATTGCTCCGAACTGGGCTCTTTGTCCCAGTTGCCCTGTGTTAACCTTTTTCCTTTCTTTTCTGGGCAAGGGTTTCCCTTTAAAGTCAACCAACCAAAAAGGCTGCCCTTTTTTTCCCATGGCCACTGGGCATCTGACTTGTGGCTTGCAAATTTTCTTTTTTCACTCCAAAATTTCAAGCCGTTTGTCCTTTCCCTTTTCACCCCAAATCTGCCAGCCCGGCTGCCCTGCCTTGGGGCCCTCGCTCCTCGCCGCCGGAGTGCCGGAGTGCGAGGTCTTCGGAGGCGGCACCTCCCTGCAGGGCACGCTGCAGGGCTCCACGATGCTCTTCTTCGTGCCGGGGGCGCTGAGAGGTTTTGGTACGCCGAAATGGTGGAGCCGGTGTCGGGGTATACCTTGACTGCTATTGGGTTGGATCTTTAGACTTTAGCTTTTTGGTGGAGATCAAGGGGTTTTCCACTCGACCCCCAAAAAGTTAAACTTTTTGCGGGGGGTTAACAGCAACCAAGATACGAACTGTTTGTTTTGTTGGTTTGATTGTTGTGTTGTTTGGGTTTGTATAGTTTTTTTTGGTGATGTTGTTGTGTTGTTTGGGCGTTGTTTTCGAGAATAGGTGGGTGGTGTTTTGTTGTCTAGGACTCTTTGCACCCTTTGGCTTTGTGATGGTTGTCTCCCGGAGCAAACCCTGAAGCTTTCCCGCTCCCAGTGGCCGCGGCTGCTACTTTTTGCGCCTCGCCTGCGCGCGCTGCGCCAGGTCTCTCACAGGTACCCTTTTCAGGTTGGTTTAAAGGGAGCCGACAGGAAGACCACCATTCTGGCGATCGATCGCCTTGTTCTGACGCACACCGATCCGGGTAAAACGAGCTTACCACCAGGAGACTTAATTTTCAGGCTTCGGAAGGACATGTTTCACCTAACCCTTGTTGGTTTAGATTGGTTTGGGGACCGAACCCCCTGGCTGTTGTGGAGGGTAAATGGGGTATCCCACCACACCAAACCACCAAACCACCAAACCACCAAACCACCAAACCACCAAACCACCAAACAAGCAAACCAGCAAACCAGCAAACCAGCAAACCACCAAACCACCAAACAACCAAACCAGCAAACCAGCAAACCAGCAAACCAGCAAACCAGCAAACCAGCAAACCACCAAACCACCAAACCACCAAACCACCAAACCACCAAACCACCAAACCACCAAACCACAAACCAGCAAACCAGCAAACCAGCAAACCAGCAAACCACCAAACCACCAAACCACCTAACCACCAAACCACCACCACCAAACCACAACCAGCAAACCACCAAACCACCAAACCACCAAACCACCAAACCACCAAACCACAACACCACCAAACCACAACCAGCAAACCAGCAAACCACCAAACCACCAAACCAGCAAACCAGCAAACCAGCAAACCACCAAACCACCAAACCACCAAACCACAACACCACCAAGCCACAACCAGCAAACCAGCAAACCACCAAACCACCAAACCACCAAACCACCACACCACCACACCACCACACCACCAAACCAGCAAACCACCAAACCACCAAACCGCCAAACCACCAAACCAGCAAACCACCAAGCCACCAAACCACCACACCACCACACCACCACACCACCACACCACCACACCACCACACCACCACACCACCAATCCACCAATCCACCAAACCACCAAACCGCCAAACCACCAAACCGCCAAACCACCAAACCACCAAACCACCAAGCCACCAAACCACCACACCACCACACCACCACACCACCACACCACCACATCACCAAACCACCAAACCACCAAACCGCCAAACCACCAAACCACCAAGCCACCAAACCACCACACCACCACACCACCACACCACCAAACCACCACACCACCACACCACCAAACCACCAAACCGCCAAACCACCAAACCACCAAACCACCAAACCACCAAGCCACCAAATCACCACACCACCACACCACCACACCACCACACCACCACACCACCAAACCGCCAAACCACCAAACCGCCAAACCACCAAACCGCCAAACCACCAAGCCACCAAACCACCAAACCACCACACCACCACACCACCAAACCACCACACCGCCAAACCACCAAACCGCCAAACCACCAAACCGCCAAACCACCAAACCACCACGCCACCACACCACCACACCACCACACCACCACACCACCACACCACCACACCGCCAAACCACCAAACCACCAAACCGCCAAACCGCCAAACCACCAAAGCACCAAAGCACCAAACCACCAAACCACCAAACCACCAAACCACCAAACCACCAAACCACCAAACCACCAAACCACCAAACCGCCAAACCAAACCACCAAACCACCAAACCACCAAACCACCACACCACCACACCACCACACCACCACACCACCAAACCACCAAACCACCAAACCACCAAACCGCCAAACCGCCAAACCACCAACCCACCAAACTACCAAGCCACCAAACCACCACACCACCACACCACCAAAACACCAAACCACCAAGCCGCCAAACCGCCAAACCACCAAACCGCCAAACCACCAACCCACCAAACCACCAAACCACCAAACCACCAAACCACCAAACCGCCAAACCGCCAAACCGCCAAACCACCAAACCACCAAACCACCAAACCACCAAACCACCAAACCACCAAACCACCAAACCACCAAACCACCAAACCACCAAACCACCACACCACCACACCACCACACCACCACACCACCACACCACCAACCCACCACACCACCAACCCACCAAACCGCCAAACCACCAAACCACCAAACCACCACACCACCAAACCACCAAACCACCAAACCACCACACCACCACACCACCACACCACCACACCACCACACCACCAAACCACCAAGTCACCAAGCCACCAAACCACCACACCGCCACACCACCACACCACCACACCACCACACCACCACACCACCAAACCACCAAACCGCCAAACCGCCAAACCACCAAACCACCAAACCACCAAGCCACCAAGCCACCAAGCCACCACACCACCACACCACCACACCACCAAACCACCAAACCACCAAACCACCAAACCACCACACCACCACACCACCACACCACCACACCACCACACCACCACACCACCACACCACCAAACCACCAAACCACCAAACCACCAAACCACCAAACCACCAAACCACCAAGCCGCCAAGCCACCAAGCCGCCAAACCGCCAAACCACCAAACCACCAAACCATCAAACCACCAAACCACCAAACCACCAAACCACCAAACCACACCACCACACCACCACACCACCAAACCACCAAACCACCAAACCACCAAGCCACCAAACCACCAAACCACCAAACCACCAAACCACCAAACCACCAAACCACCAAACCACCAAACCACCAAACCCCCAAACCACCAAACCACCAAGCGACCAAACCAGCAAACCACCACACCACCACACCACCAAACCAGCAAACCACCAAACCAGCAAACCACCAAACCACCAAACCACCAAACCACCAAACCACCAAACCACCAAACCACCAAACCACCACACCACCAAACCACCAAACCACCAAACCACCACACCACCAAACCACCAAACCACCAAACCAATCTCCAATCCAAAGCCACCAAGAGGGAGGCTGAGTGTAGCTCGCAGAAGCGGGGTGGGTCCGAGGGAGCTAAACCGGGCTGCCAAAACGTCGAAACCTCTGGCTTCGCGCTCCTTCGTTTCAACCGACTGGAGGAAAGGCATAGCGACACCAGCTTTTCCGAGCAACTTTGTTAATTAAACCAAGGAAGACAAGCTCCATCCTGGTTTCTTCTTTTGTGTTCGTGCCCAAAGAATCCGCCATCTTGGCAATCCCTCAAACCCGTGAAAGGTTTTCATCCATTGGTTTGCAAGCGTTTGAGGCCGGTCCTGGCTGCGAGATGTTTTTACCAGCTCTTCAAGGCCTTGTCGTCAGTCGTTCTGTTTGCTCCCACATGGCTGTGGCTCAAAAAACGGGTACCAAAATGGCTTGCCCTGGTAAGTGGAAACATGGACCAAAATCCGCGGTTTGCCCCTCCTGTTTAATTTTGAGCCACAGCCACATAAAGTGCTCATACTGCATCTTTGCAACGTGTTTGTTTTGCAGACTGGGTCCTGCGACATCTTGGGCAGGGCTTGTTGGGATGGCTTTGCACAGGGCTGGGACAGTGGAGAACTGAATTTCAAGGGGGTCGATTAGGGGTGCTGTTTGAACTGTTAAAGGGTGGCATTGCGAAGGATTCCATGCATTGCAGGGTTCGGCTGCAGGTTCCGTGTTGAGGACGCTTCAGAGAAGGGTTCTGTTGCACAGCGCCGTGTTGTGGCGCACGTGAACAGCCTTCTTGTTGTAAACATCCTCTTTCCCATTGTTTTTATCGCGGCTCCTGGTGCGAATGTGTTCGAACAGCGCCATTACGTTTGTCTTGAATATGCCAAACCAAGGAAACCTGCCTGATCCTTGTGTCAATGAGTCGCGGGAGAATCTCGATGGGCTTTTGCCTAGGGACCCGAGTTCCGCAACTGTTGTCCACATTGACTTGGAACAAACAGCGTCGGCGAATTCACGAGGAGCCATCGCCGGATCTTCATTTGGGGGTTTTCCATATCACTGACACGAAACCGGTTTACTTGGCCCACCTAAGCGGGTCCCGTTTGCTTAGGACCGGGACCCACAGTACACACGAAATTGCCATCACGAAAGCTAGCTATGCTGGCATTGAGTTCTCCTTGCTTTAGCAATTTAGGGGGCTGATCTGGCTTGACAGATTGAGTATTTTCAAGCCGGAGGGCGGGGGGGGGGGTGTGATTTGAATTGATTCCGAAGATCGATTCCTTGCTACACCCCCCACTCCCCCTTTTTTGGGGGTTCGATCCTCCTCATCCACATTTTTGTGATTGCTTGTGGCTAGGTAATCTTTTTCTTTAGGACCCGGTCCAAGTTCGGGTCTCAATGCCTTTCTGGGTGTTCAGAATCAAAGCTCCAATTCTCAATATCACTGATTCGGAAAAGAATATCGTTCTCGGTTTGCCTAGCTTTCAAGTTTACCCGCTTCTCAAGTTGGGTCAGTAGCCAGTTCCCACTTGCCCTAGGCGGGCTTGTATGCCTGCCTGGACTGGAATTTCATGGCCGGGCCCTCAGAGCTCCAGACCATAGGTCACCCAGCTTAGCCCGTGCTTACCGGAAAAGAAGCCCTGCGTCTCAAGCGTTTGGGGCAGGGTCTTTCTTGCGAAAATGAAGCTTGACACACGCGAGGGTGTCTTCACAGGTTCTCAGGGCCCCCTTTTTGGTTCCCAGACGAGGCGTTTTTTTTGGCATCCTGGGCAGGGGCAGCTCTTTTGCAATCTTTGAGGGGGACATCTCCGCACTTTTGGGGGCTGGGAATGCGGCCCCTTTTGGGGTGCGTGGCTTTTGGGGTGCGTTCAGTAATTACTCTTGGTGGATTCAGGTGTTGCGTCAGTTTGTTTGGAGCTGTCTGCAAGGTGGCCTTGTCCGGTCGCGCGGTTTTCTCACACGGAAACGGGACAAGGATTTGGCAAAGCTGCATGCTGGACAACCCTAACTCATGCGGGATTTGGCCGGTGCACTTTTGAAACCCACGCGGTTCGTGCGAGTCACAATGCAACAATCAACTTCCCCTCCCTGCTTTTCTCTTTTTCTCGTTCCTGCAGTCTCTTTCCCTGACAGCGCGAAGCCAGGATTGTCCCTTCGAGTGCGATTCGGATGGGCTTCAAGTGCAGGATTCCACTATCGGTGCCAATCTTTTCCTAAATGACAACTTCTTAGTCCTCTTTTTGTGTGTGATTTTCGCATCACCCTTTGGGCCCCTCCATCGCAAAATGTGTTTTTCCTGATTTTTTTGGGGGATGTTTCGGGGGACACACAAAGACACGGGGAACCCGGCACCGGCCAATCGGCCAATGGAAAATCCTCAGGCGAGGATTGGGGTGGTGAGTTTCGCCGCGGTCTTCGTGCCGGCCATCGTGGTGTCCGTGTTCGTTCGCACGGCTGGGGACCGAGTCGATCTAGCGACTGAGCGCTGGAAAAGGACCATGGGTCTGGGCAAAAAAGGGGCCACGTTGCGAAGGAAGGGAGTTTTCGGACGACTTTTACCCGAAGGCTTCTTTCTTGGCGCCTATTTTGGGTTGCTGAACTTTCATCCCAGAAAAAAAGTGCGTCGGAATAAGTGTTTCACCTTCTTCCCGAGCTGAGAGGTGGCTGAATTCCGGTTCCCCCAGCACCACCAAATGCAACGCACTTTGAGGGACCTAGTTGGAAGCAGATCCCCCACTGGCCTGGCACGGCGAGTGGCCTTGGGCAGAAAGGTGACTCAAGTGTTTTTTGTTTTTCTTTTCGGTTTTGAAGCAAATAGTCCCCCCCCCCCCCCCCTTTTTCTTTTTTTTGGGGGGGGGTGAGGGGCGGGAAGGGGAAAAGGGGGGGGGCTTACGATTTGGGCCTCACCTCAGCGTTGGTGCTTGGCGGTTCGGGTTGGAGGTTGAGGGCACGACTACCAAGCAGGGCTCGGGAATCAGCGCCGGCGGCTGGGATTCCCGTGCGGGGGATCTATCAGGTGAAGGAGTGTCGCTCTTTGAGGGTTCTGGGTTTGCGTAAAAGGGAAACTACAGCCAACCACAGTAAAACCACTCCTTTTGAAGGCTGCCCTGTTTCGAGTCAAACCCAGGTGTCCTGCTAGCGCTTTCCTGGACTGAGTTCAGAATCAGCACGTGTTCCTGAAGCGCAGCCAGCAAAGCCCGTGTTTCAGCGTTGCACCTGTATCGGCACTCAAAGCTTGAGTGACATTGATCGCAGCTGTTGCCAGCTTGACTCCAACAAACTTCCTCACATGTTGCGGTGGAATTTGTGAGGTGTCCCGGCGCTTTGCTGTAAGCTTCAACTTATATTGGGAGGTTGATGTTCGGAAGCTGGCGGCTTCAACCCAAATAGCTTTGGACCTTGGTCTGCCAGAGAAACCCCAACATTACGGCTCCCCTCGCCGTCTCCTTCCGTTCCTCCCTTGCTTTTCCTTTCCCTTTTCTTCCAATTGCTTAATAGTTTTTGTTTCTATTCATTTTCCCTTGTTGGTTTCAAAGGGAATCTATCCCTTCTAGACACGTTTTGTCATGTTTTCCCGGGGGCGACAACTTGCTGGTCAGGAGGGAATGCGAGAATGAACCCAGGCTTTGGTCCCCTTACAGGAAACCACCAGTTGGATGGTTTATATTCGGGTCCTTCCATTTCTCATACCGTGCATCTCTCGCGGCAGCAAGAAAAAGCAAATGGCGACGTTTTCCTCCTCCCGGCAGGTGGCGTCCATCGTGGTGGCGATGTATCTGCCGCTGCTGGCGATGGCTGTGGCCTTCATCTTCCGCACGAGGCGAATTGACTCGTCGCGAGTCAGATTTGTGGATCCCCCAACAACATACGGGGAGTCAGGTGAACATGGGAACGCTCCAAAATGGGGGGGGGGGGCGCTCCCCAAGCGGCGAGAAGACTGCGAGATTCCTCTAAAGTGAGTTCTTTTTTGGCTCCATGTTTATCTGCACAGTATGGGTTCGACTCGACTCCCTGGCCGGAGGTGTTGAGGAGCTGACACTAGCCCTTATCACACTCGCGGGAGCCGGACGTTTTTTTTCCGAAACTTTTCACTTGGCGTCAATTCGCTTCTGACAGTGGACATAACTTTTCACTTGGCATCAATTCGCTTCTGACAGTGGACATAACTTTTCACTTGGCATCAACTCGCTTCTGACAGTGGACATAACTTTTCACTTGGCATCAACTCGCTTCTGACAGTGGACATAACTTTTCAAACTTTTCACTTGGCATCAATTCGCTACTGGACATCCTGAGTTGCTTATGCTAAGCTGGTACTAGTCTTTTGCCACTGGCTGACGGGCCGCTGCCGGGCTGTTGGCTGAATGTCTGAATGTCTCTCAGAGGGTTCCCTCAATGGCACACCTGTGTTAGTTTTTTTTTTCAATCCCGGGTTCATATTGTCCAGATCTGGTATGTTTGGGACTTCTTTTCCGGATGTATTCGGGCTTGTCCTGATTTTACACCGTCCAAACCGGACCCAGGACGCATCACTGCCACTAGCCATCCTTTTTTGTTAAGTAAATCACGGTTGCCTTGATTGGTGAACCACATGGTTCACTCACCGAAGCGTCAAGCGGGGTCCGTCCAGGCGGAACATCAAGTACATGCTGAATGACCAGCCCGGTCCGTGGCAGCAGTGATGGTTGGGGAGTCCCAGTTGCTGACTCCGACAGGGACACACACACACACACACCTCCCAGTTGATTCCTACCAACTGGTTGGGCGTAAGGAAAGGGGCTAATGATTTCTAGTTTGCCACTAGAATCATCACTTAATATTGTCGGAGATCATCACATTCAAACGGAAACCCCAATTGTCTGGTGTCGCCATTGGCACCCGAAAGAGTGGCAGCTCGTGTTTCACGGATCCTCAGTCTCCGTCTTTCCCAACGTCCATGGTGTTCTTGGGGTATGTGGTGCCATTAAATGCGACAATGTGTCTGTGGGCATCTCGGCTATCAGATGTTTGGTGCTTGGCACAGAAGTGATTCTTCACTTTGCAAGCTCGCATTGTGGCTGGACAGATAGCGCCAGAACCATGCCCTTGAGGCGCCTACATAGCGAAGCAGTACATATTTGCAGCAGCAGAAGTAGAGAACAGCTAGGTCAGCAAAGTATGAGACAAACATTGGACTCTTCCGCGCATTCTCCTTCGAATGGCGGTCCTTTGTTTCGATGAAGTGCATGATGGAGAGTATATTTATCGTCTTCGGGAACCCGTGCCGAAACAAGGTAACACGACCCGACTCAGTGTGGCGGACAATGAAGCCCTTCGACGTTGGGACACTTTGTCCCGGCAGCCTGACTGGGACCTCTACACTAGACTGAAAGTTGAATACCTGATGCAGTGGTATCTAGGTTGCTATAATTGCTTTTGACAGTCAGTTATAATAGTGTATTATCATTGACCAACACATATGTCTATATGTGCATATATAGTATGTGTTTATGTAAGCAGACAGTATGTATATACACATAGATAGTATTTTGTTTAATCACTATTATGGTTCTTTCTTTGTTTGGTTCTAGTTTATTTACTGTTATTGTTATTATGATACACACATGGTTGACGTATACCATCGTTATATGTTCTGATTGATTGACTTGGTTTGATATCATATATGTTTAAGAAAAATCATATATACATATATACATATATACATATATACATATATACATATATACATATATACATATATACATATATACATATACATATATACATATATACATATATACATATGTCAACATATTCAATTTCATAGAATACTGTTATTTTGTTGGTGCAATGATCCGAGGTTATTCTGCTGGCAAGTATTCCAGGAGCATGGACTTTGCATTTATATGTGTATCTATGCATATCAGTTATATGTGTACCTGTGCATATACATACATATATATATATATATACACACACATGCAGACATAGTATTATACATAGTTTTTTTTGATTTAATAACATTGTCTGTTTAATCCGAGTTTATGATTTGGGTTATTTGAGGTGGTTGGATTCTTTGGGCTGATTGGATTTCTACATTTGTTTGATGTTTAATTAGGTTATTTGTGCTATTTGGGTTGTTTGGTGGAATCTTGGACTATTTGAATTATGTGGATATGATGATTTGTTGGACTTTTGAGTTATTCAGGTCTTAAGGTATTTTTGTAATATGTTGTTGGTTTGTCTTTCTGGAAAACGATATATATATATATATATATGCACACTCATACATATAGTTCCTGAACATGTTAGATTTCTTTAATGTTTGTTGTTTTTGTTGATATTAACAAACAACATGTATGTTGACTTCCCGATTTTATATTTTTGGATATTTGCCGGTGGCGAACCAGGTGTGGGGCTGGGCAAATGTTAGGCTTCCTTTGAAGGAGCGCGTTTCTCGATGGTCCAAAGGGATCCTTTTGGTCCACAGCGGGCAACTAGCCCGGGGCGGTCTCGAGTTCCGCCGAACTCTGTTTGGGGTTAGGGATGATCATCAGGCCCCCTTTCTGAGTCTCTTTGGACGAAAAGTTCCGAAGAAACTATGATTTTGTGGCACATTGAGGCATCCTTTGCAGCAGCACCAAAGAAGCGGGGCGGTCAACACTATGTGGTATGGTCAGTTCAAGGGCCACAGGAGACAAAACCAGGGACTGGCTTCTTTTGCCATGCCTATTGGGGGATAGAGCGTATTTCGACCGCTCATGTGACCCTCAAAGGGCTCAACATGCAAAGCTTGTTGACGATTTCTCCGCTTGTTTCCTAACTAGAGTTCAGGCGTTTCCCGTTTTGATGATCAGATCAATTGATTTGTCTAGCACCAGTGCAGTTTCATGAATGGGTCAGATCAATTGATTACCCCCTCCCATGCTTCATAGTGCGCTCATGTGGGATCCACCTCACTTTGGGGTCTGTCTTGAGGTCAGCCTCGAGGTCATCGCAGAGCTGCGCCTCACCATGCGGTCCAAAGACGTTAAAGACGTTCCAAGTGAGCCACAATCAAAACCCGGGTAGACAAGGGTTAATAAGGGATAATCCCAACCATAAATGGGTGCGGCCGCTTTCTTAATTCTTTGCATGGTTCTGGGTAGCCCATTTATTTGCGGGACTTGATTGTGACTCAAGTGTGGTCACTGGAGGTGGTTATTTGCCCTTTAGTAGAACATTTAGTTGCAGCAATGGTAAGAGTCATATGACCCAACGTGATTTGACTGTGGCGCATATGTTTGCCATGAGTCAAAGAGCGGGAAAATAGTGTGCGGGGGCGGGGGCAACTAGAAGAGGGAAAGGTGGACATCTGGAATGCATGATTCAATGATGCTGAGATATGCTGAGAACGTGTGGTTTTTCTGGTCAAATAAAATCCAGGTTGGTGTCACACGGGTTTTGCATTCCACGCGGGCTTGATTCCCGGGTACGATTGGGGTTCTGCTTTTGTGGATAAGGTGGCTTCGAAACCAAACCCAAACGTTCGGCTTGAGCCAGGTATTGTTGAGCAGTGGAAACTCAGGATTAAACCACATTTAAGAAGGACTCCTTCAATTTTGTTTATTTTACACCCCCCGATTCGTCAGGTTGATTGATCGGGGTCGATACTGATTTACTAAGCACCTCCAAATTGTGATACTTCAGACCACAAAACAGGATGCGAGGGATCGAAACCCTGCACATGAGCAGCCCGGCGTGCTTTGGTTGGTTGCGTTGGCAATGTGAGGGGCTAGATCATTGCTCACATTTGGCTCCGATGAGTCCAATGATTCCATTTGGTTTTAATCGGCCCACAACCTCATGCTAGTGACTGAGGCCCTTAGTGCGCTTGGGTTGCTTTTAGAGGAAGCCAGAGGAAAATCACTCACTTTGGCGGGTTCTCCCCGATTTAATTTACAGAGCATGGTTTTTGCTAGAGGTTGCTCAGACGCATATCATCGACACTGTGGAATCAGTTTGCATGGGAAAGGGCTGATGTCGCCAGGTGCGAAGCTTTCGAAGCTTTCGAATGGGTCAAAATTAGACCAGCGGACCGCAAGTGGTCCATGTTTCCACTTGCCGATCGGGTTCCCTTTTGGGGTTACCATTTTTTTGACCACCACAGCCGAATGGCAATCATTTGTAGCACGACGTATTGCTCCAGCCAGCTTGCTGTGTATGTCCCTTACGATCCTCTGAAAGGTCACCATCCCAGTTGCCCAGCGCCCCAAAATTGTTTTCCCTCTTGCCCCTTTCTTTTTCGGAAGGGTCCCCCTTTAAACGCCACCAAATTGGCAAGGATGCCTCTTGTTTTTCCCATGGCCACTGGCATCTGAGTTGAATTCCTTCATCCCCGGCCAATGTTTGATGGTGACTTCCAGGCCATTGATTCGCTGAATGCAGACGTTTGGATGCCCCTCACGGAACGGCCAGGAAGTTGTTCTGAAGGAACTCGCAGATACCGGGCCCACTAGCATGGAACCCAGGTCCATTTTAAAGCAACATGGTCTTTCAGGACCTCCCTGTGAGGTTCCATGTTTGTGGACAGGAGGGTACTTTGTGCCACTTTAAGAGTAGGGGCCAGGAATTCAAGATGCCCAACATGGAACCCCCAAAAAGGGTGTGTACAATGGTGTCCCCCAAAAGGAGACTGTTCTACACACGGCACGTTTTGAGGGGATGCTACATTGGCAACTCTGTGACCGCAGCGTAGCTCGGATCAGGAGGTCTCAGACTTCCGCGCATGGCACCAAGCGGGGCAGTACCTCGGTGCACAAAGAGGAGGTTTTCCAAATGGATCCAATCGGCAAAGCGAGGGATTCAATGGATACCATGGATTCTGTGGATTTCAGAGACGCCATGTTTACTCCCCCAGCTCAACCTTCAGACACGCAACCCAAAATTCAATCTCGGCGCAGGCGCATGTGTTGAACAGAGCCATGGGAGCCAGTCAAGGGCTGACTGCGATTTGTCAGCCATGCCGGGACCCCGGAAGCAGCGGTTTTGAAGTGAATACGCGAGCCGTGCCGTTTGAAGACGCTCTGGCGTGGCAAAAGTGTTCAATGATTTAGAGGAAGGTTCATCGGTTGTTTGAACGCGTGCTTGTCGTTGTTTTGGCTTCCTGGCATTTGTTCAGCTGACAAATGACATTGGCCAATTGTCGGCCTGGCAAAAACTCCGCGCAGACTCCGCAGCCGCAGTGTAGAGCAACGCAAGTTGCACGACTCTCGCTCTGGTGTGAGTTGGATCGGTTGGGTCGAGAGTTCAATTCACCCCTTGGTTTTGTGGCTGGTGTCCCTTGTGGCTTTTGCTCCCTGAAGCCACGCACGTAAGTCTCAGCCGAGAGCCAAAGGCTCCGAATAGCTTCCTGGCCTCAAGGGCCACCATTGATTCCCTGCAAAGGTTTCTTTCATGCATCCGGGCATCCCTGTCTGGGGGTTGTATCTAAGGGCTGCCCTGTGCCGCCTTCCCCGGCTTGCTGACAGGGGGCGTTGTTATAACAATTCTGGCTACGCATTTTGTTGTTGGGTTTAGCGGCACACTTGAAGCATATATGAAAAAGAAGAGCACCATGAGAATGATGATGCTTTTAATGATGCAAATTATTACCTAACACTGGGGATGCTGATAATTATTGCTATGCATTCGCATTATGGCCAGCAGTTATGATGATAATTGTTACTTTGCATTTCTAGCAGCACCAGCAATTGTTATGATGATAATGACGACGCATTCCCTGCATCTCAAACAAGCTACTGCAGGATTAATTCGCATGATGAGCACCTTGTTGGATTTACAAAAGGTGCCCGCGGTGTGTGGAAACTCGGGCAGGACAACCATGTTGGGGGCATGTTTTTTGTTCGCAAGACTTCGTTGTATTGCTGTGGATGCAAAGCGTGGACTTTGTGTCATCGCTTCGTCTTCGAGAGAAGTAAGCCGTTGGGAGCACTTTGGGGTGCAATCAGATGGTGATGATGATGATGATGATGATGTTGATGATGAACTATGCCC